TGTGCCCGCTGTCTACACGCGTGTCACCGCGCTCCGCAATTGGATCGACTCCGTGATATCGGCCAACTGAAGCCCCTAATAAAGTTCCTCTCCCCTAACATGTCTTTGTGTCCTTGCTGCAGCCCTGGGCTGTGCACGGCTGGCCAGGAGCAGGACGTGTGGGTGGACATGGGGATGCCAACGGAACTGTGGGGACACCTGGGTGGATGTGGGGCTTCTGCTGGCTGGGTGTGGGAACACCAGGTTGGGCACAGGGACAACTGTATGAGAGGAGACGGTGGGCTGTGCCTGCTGTGCGGACAGCTGGCTGCAATGGTGTGGGGCCCACCAGGAGAGCTGCGCTGCTCTCTGACCCCAACAAGCAGGGCAGGGCCGTGTGGCTGCGGTCAGATAACGCCGTGCAGGGCTCCGTTCAGTGCCTGGAGCCACCTTAACGCTGAGCGGGAGGGGACTGGGGAGCACGGAGCCATGCGCAGCCCCGGGCACGGCTCCAGGCCCAACATGGCCCTGTGGCACGCGCTGCGGCTGGCGGGGGCCGTGGGGCGGCGCGGGTGCTGCAGCCAGGTGGGGTGGGATGGGGGCTGCGAGGGGTCTCCTCGCACGCTGATCCTGACCACGTGCTGACCAGACCCCCTCCCGCAGCGCCTGCTGCCCCCTGGCCTGCTGCAGGCTCTGCGCTCCGTGGCTGGGGACCCCAACGTCTCGGTGGCAGAGGCGGTGCGGCAGCAGCACGGGCACGATGAGTCCATGCACAGGTGGGGCTGGGGGCAGCGCCGTGGGGCCGTGCTGCACCTTGGGGCCGGCGATGAGAGCTGTTCCCCACACCAGGTGCGCACCCCCCGACGCCGTGGTGTGGCCTCGAGACGTGGAGCAGCTACAGGAGATGGTGGCCCTCTGCTACCAGCACCGTGTGCCCATGGTGCCCTTCGGCACCGGCACTGGCCTGGAGGGCGGTGTCAACGCCGTGCAGGTACGCAGCCCCCAGCCCCCCCAACACCCCCACCGCCCACTGCTGCCCGTGCCATGCTGTGCTGTGCCAGGGTGGCGTCTGCTTCGACCTGAGCCGCATGGTCGCCATCTCGGAGCTGAGTGTCGAGGACTTCTCGGTGGCGGTGGAGCCCGGCGTCACCCGCAAGGCTCTCAATGCCCATCTGCGCGGCACTGGGCTCTGGTTCCCCGTCGGTACTGGGGGTGCTGGGCAGCGTGGGGTGACACTCGGGGCTGGATTGAAGGGTTTAGGGTGCTGGGAGCATTGGGAATGCTGGGAACAATAGGATGGCAGGGGATGTGGGGAGAACTTGGGGCGCTGCGGTTGTCCATGTGGCCGAGGGTGCAGGGAGCGCTGGGTACATTGGGATGCCAGAGCTTCCCCACCGGGACTGCGGTGCTGGGAGCACTGGGAGGGCTGGGGGTGGCTGCAGAGAACTTGGAGCACTTGGAGCACTGGAGTTGCCTGTGTGGGCAAGGGTGCTGGAGGTACTGGGGTGTCTGGGGAGAACCTGGAATACTGGGAGCATTGGGATATTCCATAGGGTCAAGGGTGCTGGGAGCACTGGAGTGGCTGGGGAGATCTTGGGATACTGGGTGCATGGGCATTTTCCATGTAGCTAAGGGTACTGGGAACACTGGGAAGCTATATCACAGGGACAAGGGCACTGGGAGCTGTGGGATGGTTGGGGAGATCTTGGAATATTAGGAGCATTGGGATATTCCATGGGTCCAAGGGTGCTGGGAGCACTGGGATGGCTGGGGAGATCTTGGAGTGCTGGGAGGACAGGAAGAACTGGGGTTGTCCATGTTGCCAGGGGTGCTGGGAGCACTGGGAGCAGTGGGATGGCTGGGGCCGCTGGGAAGAGCTGGGAGCGCATAGAGAACTAGGAGCACTGGGGTTGCGTATGTAGCCAAAGGTGCTGCAAGAGCTGGGAGTGCTGGGATGGCTGTAGCTGCTTGGGGACTTTGTTTATTGTGGGCACACAGGGCCAGTATTGCAGGGAGCACTGGGAGGGCTGGGGCTGATGGGGGAGCACCGGGGTTTCCCACGTGGCCAAGGGTGCTGGGAGCACAGGGGTGGATGGAAGTGCCCATGGGGCCAGCGATACCACGAGTCAAGGTGTGCTGGCAGGGCTGGGCTGCTGGGGATGCTGGGGGTGCCCGCAGAGCTGGGTGCTGTGGGGAATGCTTGGTGCAATAGAGGCAGGCACGGGGTGGGGGCGCCCAAGGGTAGGGGTGGCGGGGTCCCAGGTGTTCCCGGCCCCAGGGGTGCCACGTGCTGGTGGTGCTGCCGACCCCTGGGCACATCGGGTCCCCTGGCTCTACCGCAGACCCCGGGGCGGACGCCTCGCTGTGCGGCATGGCGGCCACGGGCGCCTCGGGCACCAACGCTGTGCGCTACGGCACCATGCGGCCCAATGTGCTCAACCTGCGCGTGGTGCTGCCGGACGGCAGCCTGCTGCACACCGCCGGGCCCGGGCGCAGCGCCAGGTATGGGGTGATGGAATGGGGCCACGGGTCGGGGTGCCCGGCACCCTCTCACCTCTCCCTGCACAGGAAGAGCGCGGCTGGCTACGATCTGACCTCCCTGTTTGTGGGATCCGAGGGCACCCTGGGCTTCCTGACGCAGGCGACTCTGCGCCTGCACCCCCTGCCTGAGGCTGTGCTCTCTGCTGTCTGCACCTTCCCCAGCGTGCGGGATGCTGTGGGCTGCACCGTGCAGGTGCTGCAGGCGGCCGTGCCTGTGGCACGCATTGGTGGGTGCTGCTGGGAGGGTGGGGGTGGGATGGAGACAGAATGGGATGGGATGGGGACGGGAGGGGGATGATAACAGGGATGGGGAGACCTGATAGCGGCCTTTCAGTATCTAAAGGGGTTGTAAGAAAGAAGGGGACAAAGACTTGAGTGGGGAGTGTTGTGACAGGACAAGGGGTCCTTCGCGCTCAGGGCAGTGAGGCACAGGCTGCACACAGAGCTGGTGCTGCCCCATCCCTGCACACAGCCAAGGTCAGGAAACGGGGCTGTGAGCACTGATGGAGCTGTGGGTCCTGCTCAGTGCAGGGAGTGCAAGCAGAGAGGGCCTTTAAAGTTCCTTCATACACAAAATATTCTGTGATTCTATGCACTGAGGATAGGCATGGGACTGGGAGATGGTGAGGGATGGGGACATAGGTGAGATTTGCAGGACAAGGAGGTAGCAAGGATGCAAATGGGAAAGAAGTAGGATGAGGATGGTTACACTGACAGGAATGGGATGGGGATAGTACACGGATGGGAAGGAGTGTGGAGATGGGATGGGGATGAAGACAGGGAGGAACTGGGGATGGGAACGGGACAACCTCAGCGGCGTCTCCAGCTGCCTCCTCCCCGCAGAGCTCCTGGACGAGGTGATGGCGGGCGCCTGCAGCCGCTACAGTCGGCTGGAGCTTCCAGAGGTGGCCATGCTCTTCCTGGAGCTGCACGGCTCCCAGCGCGGCCTGGCTGAACAGCAGCAGCAGGCGGGTAGGGACGGAGAAGGGAGGGGGGAACTGGGGGAGGGCTGCCCGTGGTGGGGGCACAGTGGGGTCCTGGGTGCAGGATGGTGACTGGCAGCTGCTGTGATCACTCTGTCACCGTCTCCCACCACCGCAGAGGAGCTGGTGCAGCTGCATGGTGGCTCTGTCCTGTCCTGGGCGCAGGCGCCGGAGGAGCGTGAGCAGCTCTGGGCTGCACGGCACAGCGCCTGGTTTGCAGCCCTGGCCCTGCGGCCCGGCTGCCAGGTGAGGTCTGGCAACGTGTCCCCTCTTTGACCCCACCCCTGAGCCCGTTCCCGGCACCACATCCAGCCGTGCCCCCCCAGGGCTACTCCACCGACGTCTGCGTGCCCATCTCCCGCCTGCCCGACGTCGTGCTGGAGACCCAGCGGGACCTGCGGGACTCCGGCCTCACTGGTGAGCACCACCGCCACCACCGCCTGCTGGGCGCCGAGCCCCAAGCCCCGCTCACCCCGTCCCCACAGGCCCCATGGTGGGACACGTGGGCGATGGGAATTTCCACTGCATCCTCGTCTTCCGTGCCGACGACCCGGATGAGGCGCAGCGCGTGCATGACTTCACCGAGCGCTTGGGCAGGTGGGGCTGCAGCACCGGGTGGGCAGGGGGCTCCTGGGACGGTGCCACGATGACAGCCGTGTCCCCGTCCCCAGGCGCGCGCTGGCTGCGGGCGGCACCTGCACCGGGGAGCACGGCGTGGGGCTGGGCAAGCGGGCGCTGCTGCGCGAGGAGCGGGGTGCCGTGGGGCTGGCGGCCATGCGCCGCATCAAGGACGCGCTGGACCCCCTCCATCTGATGAACCCCGGCAAGGTGCTGTGAGCGCCCCGACCCGCGGCAAGGCACAGCGCATCCACCCGTCCTCCTGATTTTTGGGGATCTGGGGGGGGGCTCCGGTACCCCCCTCGGAGGTCCTCCGCTTCACCAAGAACGCCAGTGAAATAAAATAACAGTGAATATTTTATTGAACATTGTTTTAATACCATATCAAAACACCTTGACTAATGAAGGAAGCTCCCCCAAGCTCTGAACTCGTTTCCCCCCCCCCATTTTTTTTTTAATATATAAATACAGAAACGTTTCCCGCGGGGGCACGGCCACCGGCAGGGGAGGTCTCACCAACGACAACGCGCCCGCCGCGCCAGGAGGGGACGGGGATGGGGGCACGGCCATAAAACAGGGGGTCCTCACCTGCCGGCCGCTGGCGGGGCCCAAGGAGGACCCCCAGGTCCCCTCCTCGAAGGGTTCCATGGGAGGGAGGGAGGTTTTGGCAACGGCGGGGGGGCGGGGATGCTGCGGCTGTCCAGTCTCTGAGTGGTTATAGCTGAGTTAAAGAGTGACCAGTCTGTAAACATCACCGGGGCAGGGAAGCTCAAATCGAAGAACACGCCAGTCAACACGAAGCTTCATTTAATAATAATTTTTTTTTTTTTTCTCGGTTTTGTCGGTTTTCTCTTTTTTTTTGTTGTTGTTGTTTTTTTTTTGTCTGTTTTTTCTTTTTTTTTGTTCCTTTTTTTTTTTTTTTCTCCTTTTTTCTCATTGTAAACACTTGAAAGACAGACCCCGCTATGGGGCAGAGCGGTGGCCCCGCTCCCGGCGTGGGGCAGAGTCTGCATCACACGCTGCCGGGGCCGGGCTGGAGATCTCCAAAAGGGAGAACGGGAGAGAGGAGGAAATTCCCGTGTGGTCAGTGCAAAAACCGAGCGGAGCCCGCGGGCGCCAGGCGAGCCGGTGAGAAGTGCCGCGCGCTCCGTTTGGCCGCTTCCCCGGCAGCGCCGCTCCGCGCGGGGACAAAAGCCAAACATCATGGCAGCGTCGGGCCGAGGACGGCGGTTCCCTCGGTGCTGGATCCCTCCTCGTGGCTGCAGGGAGAGCGGGTCGCTTTGCTCTTCTCACACTGTCTCTCCTGGATGTTCCAAGGTTTGCTGTTGCGGTTGGTTGGTTGGTTTTTTCCTAATGTTTAAATTAAAAAAAAAAAAAAAAAAAGACGGAAAATAAAAATAAGAAAATAAAAAAATTCGCCGTTGTCCCGAGTGGGTTCAAGTTTCTGGTTGGTTGGTTTTTGTTTTTTTTTTTTTGTTTTTTTTTTTTTTGAGTTTTTGTCGTCTGTGAGGAATTGAACGTCAGCCCAAAAGTCCAGGCGGGGCAGGAGGGACGGGGAGAGGAGGTACAGCAGGTAGCAAGGTGCCCTGCGGAGAGACGAGGCCACATCAGCACAGCGAGCGCAGCCCCACGGCCGGCTCACACCCGCACCCCTGCTCAGCCCTTCTCACCCTCTGCTCCCCACCCCTCTGTGGGCTCACCTTAGAGAGAAGTCAGCAAGCACGCCCAGCAGGTCAATCAGAAGGATGCTCTGGGCAAGATCTGTTCACTTCAAACCAGGAATCTATACAGCTGGAGAGAAGACAGCGGGTCAGCTTCGGTGCCGAGTCCAGGGCTGCCCCTGCCTCCCGGCCACCACGGCTCCCTGTGCCCACGTACCTTTTGTGATAAATGCAGAGGCAGGGCAGCCTGGCTATCGTGTCCCCCTGCAGCAGCTCCTCCAGGCAGATCACACACTCGCCGGCATCCTTGGTCAGCACGTCGTCTGGAGAGGAGAAGAGAGCACCGGTGACACAGGGGCGTTGCGTCCCCGCCTGGGGCGAGTCTCAGCCCCACATTCCCCACTAAGCTGGGCTTCAGCCCACCTGCCCTCACCCCTGCTGGGCAGGATAGCGGGACGGCACGGCCCTGCTGGGCACGGCTCACTGTGGTGAGCAGCACAGGGCTGTGCTACGAAGGGTCCCAAGGAAAAGCGGTGGACACGGCGAGCAGCTGGAGCGCAGCCCTCTTGGCACGCTGCAGCCCCCGCCTGCACCTCCTGCCCGCTCACGGCGTCCCCACACTGGCAGGACACCGTGCCCACCCCAGCCCTTACCGTTGTAGGAGAGGCGAGGTTTGCTCAGACACATGATAAAGTGCATTTCCATCTCGTCAGAAGCCACAGATTTGGAGCAAATGGGGCACTTGAAACCTGGAAGGAGAGCAGAGGGAAGAGCTCCTGAGCCAGGAGGGAGGAAGGAGAGCCCAACCGCATCCCAGGGAGCACGGAGGGTCCCCCACCTGCATGGTGCCACTGCCCCCACGCTGCGCCTGCCGGCTGCACGCTCATCCTGCTCTGGGTGCTCCGCAGAGCCAGCACAGGCACAGCCACCCAGCCGGCGTGCCGCTCGTCCCTCAGCCCTGCGCAGAGGGCAGGGGAGCCAGCCAGGGTGCAGCACACGTGGCCCCAGCTGCTCCCAGGCATTAAAGGGCGAGGATCACGCAGCACCCGGGGACGTGTCTCCCCCCCACGACAGCCAGCTCTGTCCACCCAGGAAGCGCCTGCAGCCATTCCACATCCCCAAGGCCCACAACACCATCCTGAGTTCTGCCGGGTCCTCTGGGCTCTGGTTTCAATGACAGCGGGGCTCACCCCTCTCCCCCATCCCTCTCTAAGCCCACTCCAATGCAGTCCCCTTTCTCTGCTCACCAAGACCACAGTTCTGCATCCTTCCAGCTCCTCAGAGGCACCTCCTAACACAAGGACCCAGCTCAGCACCTCGTGGGCACTCTGCCTTACGGCACACACACGCTGCTGTGAGCAACACGGCTGTGATCGAGAGCAGAACCCCAACAGAGCTGCAGGTGCTCGGGGCTCCTGCACTCTGTGCTCAGCCCTGAGTTTGAGCAGATGTAGCCCAAGGTGTGCAGCCATCGCCGTGGGTTTGCACCAGAATGCCGAGCAATCCCTGCCTGCAGAGATGGCGAGGGTAACATAAGGACCCGGCTTCTAAAAGCAGATCAGGTTTGACTGCAGTGCTGCTTAAGAGCTTTTTTCATATATATGCAAAGCCTGTACAGGAAAGAAAGGGAGCGTACACAAATGAGGACAAACTGAGTTCCTGTTTGCCACTGAGCGGATGGGGCTGGGGGGCTTTGGGGTTCTTGGAATGGAGGGAGCTCAGAGGGGCAGAGAATGCTTACACTCCCTTACACTCGAGCACTCGGTAGCGGCAGAGGGAGCCATGGACTGCACCCCCTTCCCCACAGGATCCCAGGCCAGAGCCGGATGGGCCACAGCCGGGAGCCCATCGCAATCTGCCGTCTCATCGTCAGCCTATATTTACCCCTGACCAATTCATACCTCGTGGCAGCAGCACCCATTGGCTTAAATAGCATTTTTTCCTCTCCTGAGTGTTTACCCTGCTGGTGTATTTATAGCGAGGGCTCAGATAGCCTCGCAGCCCGCTCCCTGTGTGGGATGCGCTCCCGTCCCCGGCTGAACCGGGCACCGCCAGCCCCGTCCCTCCTGCACCAGCCCCATTGTCAGCCGTGACGTCCCCGGGCGGCTCCGCTCAGCGACTCCTGAACTGGAGCGAGCTGCCAGGAAGGGCCGCATCCCCGTTAGACCTCATTTTCTCCAGCACTGGCACAGGCACCGGCAAAGCTGCGGTCCCCCCTTTTTTGTTCCATGCTTGATGCTATTTTCAACGGCTGCCCCAGATCCAGCAGCACCCTCTGAGACACGCGAGGAGGGCAAAGAGAGGCACGCAGCCCTCCCACTGTGACCCCACGGCAAGGACACGGGGTGCTGCACAAATGTAGGGCATAAACCCCAGGGAGAGGCCCCTGAGCGGCACTGGGCTGGGCCAAGGACATTCCTAGCTCTACGTTTTACGAGACGGGGAGAAAAACAACACAAAAAGCATCATGAAAAGGCATGAATCCCCCCCGCCTGGAGCAGAGCAAGGAGCACGATGAGGCTGCAGGGCGGGGGCTGCGCTGCACCCCAGCTGTCGGCACAAATGCTCGGCATGGTGAGAGCAGCCGGCAGAGGCGATGCTCTCGGGGGTCCCTGAGGTGGACAGCTGGCCCCAAACCTGGGCAAGGGGCACCACAAGGGGCCAAGCTGCAGACACAGTGACCCGCAGGGAAAGGGCTTCATGCCACTGCCAGGTGACATTTTGGGAAGCAGGTGGATGGAGCCATTGGGGCCACTTCTGCGTGGGTCGCCATGCTGGAGCATCCGCCTGCATTCCAGATGCTGAGATGGATGCTGGGGCTCGGAGCCGGCCCCCGTGCAGGGCTGTGCTATTTACTGCTTTCCCCAAAACCCTCGTTAATCCATCCTGCTGGAGCCGCCAGCCCGAGCAACACAGGAGATGACGTTTAGGCAGCTGCTCATGGAAAATTCAGCTCCCTCCCTCCCTCCCTCCTCCTCCTCCTCCTGCAGCCCTTCCCGTCCTCCTCCCACACACCTCAAAAAAGAGCAGGGGAAGGGCTCAGCTATTCCTCCCACCAGGAGGCTCAGGGGAGGCCCCTATGATGCAGGATGGGCTGTCAGCACCAACCCTGCCACAGGATCCCACTGCACCCCATCAGCATGGGGTCTGAGGACAAGGCATCCTGCAGGAGGCTTTGAGGAAGACAAGGGCTTTCCAGGGCTGCGAGGCACGCATTGCCGGGTGACCTCATCCCTCCAATGGCTCGCTCTAGAAACCATGAGCAAGCAGCACTCGTGGCCCTCCAGGGGCTGGTGCCCTCAGAGTATTTTTAGGAAGGTTACATGGTTAATTTTAGAGAGCCAGGCAGAGCAGAGCTGGGAACCTCTGAAGCCTCCAGCAGGTCCTAAAAGCACCGAAAGAGCCCCATGGTTAACACTGACAGCACCAAAAGCACCACCACATCGTCCAAGAGCTCTGGGAGGGCAAAGGCACAATTTCAATCAAAGTGAGCTGCCCTGCATCAGGTGAGGATGTGGCCAGGCAGGAGAAACGAGAGAACTATTGGGTCCCACTGAAGATGTGACACCCCACTGGCCTCCGACCTACAGGCTGCCTCCAGCCACAGCTTCCCAAGTGACACGGGAACAGCCAAAGAACTGAAAAGCACCCTTGGTTCAGCTCCTGCCTAACGAGCGAATGCCAAAACTGCTTTGATAGGCAGCTAAAGAAGCCCCTGATTCAGTGCCCACCCAGGACAGGGGGTGCTGTGTGCCCACACTGCCATGGTGGTGTGGGTGGCAGCATGGGGTGCACGTGAGCAGGGGCACGTAGGCAGGAAGGAGCCGAGCACTCTGGCCTTGTTCCTAGGGGCCACGCAGGCATCCTTCCTCCTGATTCATGGCCACGGGGAGGTGCAGAAAGCCAGAAGGGCAGGGCCAGGGTGGGAAGGAAGCATCCCACCTTCCTGGGGGGTGGGGAGGAGGGGCACGCAGCAGAGACGCCGGGTGGCAGTGCACACAGAAGCCCTTCTGTGGCCGCAGTCACACCTGCCAAACATCAGCCCTGATGTCACAGGTGGTGTCTCCCTCCTGCACCGCACGCTGTGTTCCCTCCAGCGTGGGCTTGGAACCGCAGCCTGCAGTCCCCCTGCCTCCCAGTCAGCTCTGTGCTACCGCAGGAACACCCCAGTGCTGGGAACAGGCTGCCTAAGGAATAGCACACAGCTAATTTTAGCATTCCCCAGAACAGCAATGCGAAGCAGAGGAGTCCTGCATCCAAAGGCCAGCTCAAGAGACTGCTTTTTGCCTCCAGAATATTTCACATGTGAAGGAGATGGGCTGCCTGTGAGCACCACCAGCAAGGCATCACCTCGGGAGGCAACGATGGGCTCAAGCTGCCATGCAGCACCCAGGACACCACTTCTGTGCCCCACAGAATGCTCCCCCACAGCACCTGAGGCAGAAGGGCAGCTCCACCTCCCTCCAGACAGGAATTTAAGCCACGCGGATAAGGACAGCCTTCCCTCATCCTCCCCAGCTACAGCTGTACAGAGACTTGCAATGGATGGTCTGAATGCTGGATCTCCACTGCAACACTTCCAACAAAACGCAACTCCATCACCAGCAAAGCCAGGCTCCCAAATGAATTACTCCATCACCACAAGAGATGCAGGTTTTCCCTCAATAGCCTTCTCCAAAAACCCACCCCCAAAGCCCTACTGTATCAGACTCCAATGCAATTCTCCAGGCTTAAGCCCACAGAGCTGCCAGAAGCACACAGCCACGGGGGACCTGGGACTTCCTGGCTGCCTCCCAGCCCCCAGGCATCAAACCTGAGCCCCCAGAGAGCTGCTCCCTGCTCCCCACCACCCATGGGGCCCAAAACTCATCCAAACCAACCCTGGGCACACGGTTGCTACCAGCTGAGTACTTGGGGTCGCGTGGGAGGAGGTACCAGACCCCAGGGAGAGGGGCAGGCTGGAGGCACAGGCAGAAGCCTCTACAAATCCCCCACTGCTGCGTTCCTCCTCGTGCCTTGCAGGCAGCTGGGCCTCTAAAAATACCACTGTTGTCACGTCGGCCTTCCTGCCAGGGATGGAAACGGCGCTGAGCCGCTTCGGTTCAATTCCTCATGCTGTGGTGCCTTGGCAGGGCTTGGCCCAGTCCCACTGCTCTGCCTGGTAGGGGACAGCCCCTCTGTCACCAGCACGGCCTCAGCAAGCTGGACGGGAAGCTCAGCCCTCGGAAATTTCTGCTAAAATCAGCAGAAGGGTCAATCTTTCCACCGCTCCCCTGCGAGGCTGCCGCGCAGAGCACGTGGTCTCACTCCTCCGCTGCGAGCGAGAGGCCCACAGCTGTGGGAGCAGCCTGGAACTCCCCCTCTGGTCCCAATCCACAGCCACCCCAACAGCACCAGGGGCAGGAGGGGAAGGAGCAGACAGCCAGCCCCAAGTCCCAGCCCCTGCTGAAGCCTCAGCAGCCGACAGAACCTCTCAGATGTTCTCCTGACCCAGTGCTGAAATGCAGCGAAAGGAACGCTCCCCTCCCTGCAGGCAGGAAACACGGGTGGCCAGGCTCTGCCCACGGAAACGCTGCGCAGCAGCACGAGGAGAGGCCCCAGGCACAGAGCTTCCTGCAGCTGCGGCTCTGCGGGGCTTCTGCAGCGCTCAGGGCCTCCTCGGGTGCTGCCTGCAGCAGGAACATTCGCTCCTGTGAATCGCCCATCGGTTCTCACAGATTTCTATTTTTGAGAGAATCAGGAGGACGCCCGGTTGCATTCCTTCCAAAAGGGTTCCAGCTCACCTGGGCTTTCAGCACAGCAGCAGGGTGAGACGCTGCAGGCACCCAGCAGCAGTGGGTGCCCGGCACAGGGAGCTCACTGATGAGCTGTGCCGCCTGATTTGGCACACGGCAGATTACCTTGGAAAGGAAAATGCTTGTTTTTTGCTTTTTTTTTTTTTTAATTATTATTCAAACAACCTCTCCCCAGATAATTTTTTTCCAGCATTTAATAGCATCCTCTCGTGATTCTCAAAGCCCTGCTGGCCGGCTGCCAGCCCCCAGGCCCACTCCTCTACCAAAGACGTCCACGTTAATCGATCGGCAGATGATGGAGGGGAACCCTAACAGTGCATTAATAACTAAGAGAAGCCGTTACGGTTGTTTGCTGGAACAAACATGTCAGCAAAACAAACGAGTATGGGATAAAGTTACGTCACAGGCCAGGAAGACAATCCTGGCTGGAAGTGGGTCAGCCTGAGAGCACGAGAGCATCGCTCCTGCATCTCTGGAGCACACACACAGAAGAGGGAGGGCAAGCAGCTCTCCTGCTCTGATTTACACGCAGGGTTAGAGTGAATGAGCCCAGCCAAGCCTGCTAGCAGCATGGTAAGCAGTGCCCAGGCACAGCAGCCAGGGGACTCTGCAGGGCTCGTGCTGTGGAGCTGGGGGATAACAACTGCTGCCGGCTGCTCACGCACCACGCCAACACTGACACACTTATCTTCATCTCCAGGCTGCTAGCGTGCATAAAAGCCATGCCTCAATTTCCTGCCTTCTGGTATTCCGGGTTTCTTTCTTCCAGCAGAGCTGCCCTGTCCCCAGCTCTCCCCTGCTGAATACTGCTGGCCTGGGGGGCTGTCGGGACCGCTCCTGCACTGCTTCCCACACAGACAGCAGCACCAAAGCAATAGGGAGACAGTCTGAGGAGCACCTCCTCTGGAAATTTCCACTGGCAAAACCAGGTTTGCCACAGCAGGTTTCTGCAGATGTGAAGGGCAGCCTGCACGGTGCTTGCTTCTTGAGGAGATGGTGGCAGGAAAGCCGTAGCTGAGCACGGCCTCCCTACAGCAGCTTGCTGATGAGCAAGTTAGAATACAGCTTTCCTTTTTTGGTGTACAGAGATCCTGAGCTAGGGTAGTTAAGCACTGGCGAGACAATCAGCATGGACGCACCAGAGGTGTGCCACTTGCCAGGGCATCCATCCATCCATCTTCAGCTCTTCCTCTAGCAAGTCCTTTCCCCAGGGCTGGATCCAACACCACTTAATGCTTCTTTCCTCCTCGATCCACAGCTGCAGGCCTGCCTGGCAAAGGTTGCAGAGCAGCTGGAAGGCAACACCCTACTGAGCAGAGGAGACTCACCCCCGTTTTGCTCCCAGCATCCAGGACAAACAGCTTACTTTGTTGGTGTGCTTCTCCTGATTGCACTGCACAGGAGGATGAGCCAGGCACTTCTCTGCTAGCTGGCTGACAGGGAGATATGGATTTGCTGGAGCTTCCAACACTCAAGGGCTTTGGGCGATGAGAGGGATTTCCAGATAAACTTTAAGCTACTTACAGCCTCTGCAAACTCCCTGAGATCCTCTGATGAAGATGAGTAACAAGAGCATACTAAGAGAGCCACATAACCCAAGAGACATGTGGTGTTGAGCCACACGTCTCATTTTTCTGCATTCTTCCTCCCAGTGTGGGCTTTGCTAAGGTCTCACCATCACAAAGCTGCAGGGGCAGGGTGGTCAGGAACCAAGAGAGAGCTCCAAAGTTGCACAAGCTGTTTTGTCATCTTACAACAGTGCAAGGCACAAAACCCCACGCAGATGCAGAAACCCCAAAGCAGTTTCAGGTCGATCTGGAGCAGCTCACTTGAATGGTAGACACCCAGGGAGGTGCATTCTCCACAGAAAGGCGGACAGAGGGACACAGACCCAGCAGCATAGATAAAGAGAACAAGGAGGTGCCAAGCCCACCCATGCATCCACTACTGCAGGCACTGTGCCACAGCAACAGCCCCTTCCCCCCCCCGAGGCTTCTCATTGTCCTGCTGAGATCCAAAGGGTGTGCTTTACCCAAACTGCTGGAACAACAAGCCCAAGAGAGAGCCCTCCCCATGTGCTGACACAGGCGGCACCCAGGTCTGCAGCCCTGCTACACCCTCCCTGTGCAAAGGCAGGAGGCCAGGAGCCTCCCTCCAGACCCACACTGTGCAATGGGCTGCACTGACACTCCCCAGGCACGTATCCTCCTGCTTCAGCCTGCCGTGCCCATGGGTCTCCTCATCCCCACCCTCAAGACATCCTTTGGACTGAGCAGAGAGAGTCACGTGCAGCAACATCAAAGCTCCTCTCCATTTACCAGCACGCTGCTGCTTAAGCATTTTCTGGGGCTGATGGAGTGGAGCAGGTCGATGGAAGAAAGGAAGGAGAGCGTGCTGCCAGCCTGCCCTGCTGCAATCATGGAAGGTTTGCTGGCATTCCTGCTATCCTAAGCTGGCCTCCTTCCCCTCTCTTTACAGTCTCCAGATTAACCTCTTACACTGAGCAGAAGAGTACAGAAGCTTCATAAGCTCCAACAAGTTTTCCAAACGGTTGTTAAGCATCCTTTTGCAAATAATTAGCAAAAGGGAAGAGACACCACCAGGAGAGGCTTTGGCACAGACCGAATGGCTCTCACTGCCGCCTGTGCACACTTCAGTGCAGCTCAAACACTCTCAGAGGGCCCCAAAAGAGGCACCAGAGAGACCCACGGCTCTCACAGCAGCTCCCACCGCCGGCACTGTGATTCTCCAAGGGCGGTGGGCTCCATCATTGCACCAATCCACATCAGGGCTGCAAACAGCTCACTCCATTTTGCAGTCGGCTTATTTTTACCATCAGCTTTTTGCCTCTTGGCACTGCAGTTTTAGGAGTACCACTGAAATGTCACAGGCTGTGAGCAACCACCTCTACACACAGCTCAGTGACGAGGCGTTCCTGCGGTGCAACCTCCATACAGGAGCACCAGGCTCACCCAAAAGCTTGGCTGGAGGGAGCAGAGCCCCTCTCCTCACTCAGAAAGCCCAAAGGATGCTGCACAGCAGAACAAGGTCACAGAAGCAGAAAGTTTGCAGGAGCGCTCAAGGCTTGAGACCCCTGCTGTCAGCTTCTCTGGATCAACAGTGCCTGGGGCATCCTGCTCTGCACAGCTTTGAGAAAGGCAGTCCCCAGAGCCTGGACAAGGGGAAAAAGCCCAAGATGGATGTAGGAAAACAGGCCCCATGAGCCTTGCTTGGCACTTTGCTCTCATCCACTAGGTCAGCTTCAAGCCTTCCTGAAAATGAGGCACTGTCCCAAGACATATTATGAAATTCCCAGACCACGTCATGTGTCGAGAACACATGAAAAGGCAGTAAAGAGACCGGGTGGGAGAGAAATCCCACACTGTTCCAGGAAATGCAAAGAGACATCCCTGAAATGACTTCCCTCCAGTCAGGAGGGAGGGGAGGACCTCCCTCCTTGCTCCCTGTGCCCAGCCAGAACTGGGTCAGTGACACAGCCCTGCTCACACACAGCTCTTCCCAGGCACAGGGACACCCACCATCGTCCAAGCCCTGGGGGTGAGTGGGGGGTAATCCCACCCCTCCCTCAGCCTCACATGTTTCCTGTGGGATCACCCATCTGGCTCCCCAGCCCCACGAGGCAGGCAGTTCCTCCTCTGCCAGCTGGCTGGAACAAGGAAGCCCGCTCCAGCCTCTCCCTGGCCCTTTACCAGGTGAAAAAAAAAAAAGGAGAAAAATTCCTACGTCTCATTTTGGAGTGCCTTTTCCCAGTACCTGAGGCGTGAGAACTGCTGTCCCTCCCTGACACTCCTGCACACAGTTCCAAAAGCAGCATGAGGAGCTCTAGCCAGTCTTCAAGACCCAGGGCTCGAGCCCCAGCATCCTCACACAAACCTCCTCTGCTTCCCCCTTCAAGTCCTGGGAGGATGGCACATCCCTAGGGCCAGAACATCTCCCCTGCAGTAAGCCTCCTCCTCCCACCACTCATTCCTGCCTTGACCTTGACACAACCGCACAGTGCCAACCCCAATCCCAGGAGCAGAGGGGGAATCGTTTAGGGTTGAGCAAAGCAGGGAAGCTCTCCTTCCCACGTTCTTTACTAGGCAGAAGGGCCACAAGTGGGGAAGCTGGGGGCAACCAGGCACTGGGAAGAGCGAGGAAAAAGGGCCAAAGGAAACTGGGAGAAAGGTGGAGTTGGGGGGAGTGAAGGGAAGGGGAAAGGGGAAAACGTGGGGAAGGGGAGACAAGGGGAGAACCAGGGGAGGGGACCAGGAGAAAATGGAGAAAGCTGAGGCTTTGGGGAACCAGAAGATGGGGGGAGACGTGGGAAAGGGGCCAGGAGAAACTGGGCAAAGCTGGGGGAAATCAGGGGAAGGGGAAAGGGGAAAATGGGGGGAACCAGAGCTGGGTGGAGCAAGAAGGAGGAAACTGGGGTTAGCAGGAAGCAGGGGAAGCCAAGGCTAGGGGGAACTGGGGCGGGGGCGAGCTGGGGAGAATTGGTGAAAGGGGGGGGAACTGGGAGAAATCAGGGGATAGGGCTAGGGGAAAATGGGGGAAGCTGGGATGAAGAGAAGCAGCAGATGGAGGGAGAGAGGGGAAGTGGAGAATAAGTGGAAGCCAGAGCTGTAGGGATCCAGGGGAAGGGGGGAACCGGGGCTCTGGGAAGACAGAGAAAACTGGGGCTAGTAGGAAACGGGGGAAGCCAGAGCCGGGGGGATCCAGGGCAGATGGGAACCTGCATTAAGGGGCCGAGCGACATCAGGGAAAGGAGGAGCTGGGAAGAACCGAGGGTTGGCAGGAATGGGGCCGAGGCTCCGGCACTCACCGCTGTGCGAGCTGAACCAGCGCGGCGCGATGTGCAGGGGCAGCGCATCGGCCAGCGAGGCCCGGGCGCCCAGGTAGAGCATCCCGTCTCTATGGTGACCGCCTCCCGTCTCCTGGTAACCGTTGCCATGGGCGTACGTGGAGTCGGTCCCCGGCCCTCCGCCGCCCGGGGCCCGCTCGGCCTCCCCCGCCGCGCGGCCGTACAGCCCGAAGGGAACGGCTCCGGCGGCCGCGGGGTCCATGCCCATGCCGGCCACCGAGCTGACGGAGCGGCTGCGCAGCCCCATGGCGCCGCCGCCGCCCGCCCGGTAATGGCCGAAGGGGGGCGGCCCCCCCGGCGGCGGCACGGCGCTGTCATCCGTCGACACCCCCGGGAAAGGGCCCCGCGAGCGGGCGGCCGTGCTCTGCTTGCCCCCCATGGGCAGCGCGGGGCCGGAGGGAGCCGAGCCGCAGCCCCCCCCGCGGGGAACGGGGCCGCGCCGGGCGGCGAGAAGCGGCGGAAGGAAGCGGGGGAAGGGATGGGGAGGGGAGGGGGGTGGGGGTGGGGGGGCGAGGGGAGCTACGGGCGAAAACCCACCCCCGCCCCGGGCATCCTCCCCCCGCCGGGCCCGCCGTAGACCGCCGAAGCCGGGGGGGGCCGAGAGGAAGGGCGGGGGGCTCCCTCGTGCCGGGCGATCAGCTGCGGCCCATGGGGGCGGCGGGCGGACCCCTCCCGCGGGGCTCAGCGGCTGCGGGGCTGCGCGCTGCGCCGGGCCCAGCCTCGCTGCCGGCCGCCGCCTGGCTGCTGGGCGCCGCGCCGGAGACAATGGAGGCCGGCAGCACGCATGCTCCCGCCCCCGGCCCCCCCCCGGCCCGCCGCCCTTAACCCCTGCGCTGCTGCCGGCCGGCGCGGGGACGCGGCGGCAGCTGGCGACACCGCCGCTCCCGCACGGGGCCTCGAAGTCCCGCACGGCCTCCCCCTCGCGCGGCAAGAAGGCCCGGCCGCTTCGGGCGGTGCGGCTCCGCGCCCCGCCGGCCCCGCGCACGCTGCCGAGCGAGCCCCGGTGTGCGCGCGGAACCCCGACCGCCTCCCTACAGCGCCGGGCCGGGGGCTGCGCGAGAAGAGGGGCGCTGAATGACTACAAATCCCAGCGGCCCCCGCGTCGGGTGGCCGCGCGCGGCGCGCATGCGCATCCCGCGGGTCCCACCTCATTTCCCGCCCCGCCGAGGCTGGCGTCGGGGCGTTGCTGGGGCGGCCTAAGATGGCGGCGCGCTGGAGCAGCGAGAATGTGGTGGTGGAGTTCCGCGACGCCCAGGTCGGGCCCTGAGGAGCAGCACGAGCTCCCTCCCCGCCGGGCCCCAGGGCCGTGCCGTGCGGTCTGTGCCTGGCGGCTGGGGCAGGGCCGGCCCGGGCCGGGCCAAAGGGCTGCGGGCGCGGGGTTGCTGAGGAGGCCCGCTACGGGCTGCTCGCTGTGCCCCCCTCTGAGAGCGCAGTGCGGGGCTGCGAGCCGGGCTGTAGGGATAGTGAACGGCCTCGTGGGTTTGGGGTGTGTCTGTCGTCGGTTCGGTTCGTGCGGAAGCGCATTAATCCGTGAGGCGCTTTATTGCCAGTACTGATTCTAAACGTGTCCGTTTTTTCTAGCTCTGCTCCGGGCCTTACTGCAGGCGTTCCCACTTCCCGCACCCCTCTCCCTGTTCCTCCTCTGAGAGCATCGCAGCTCCTTTGCTGGCTGCAATAGAGTCGCTGGGTGTAGGGAGGTCAGGAGGAATAGCCGGTTAGGGTTGAAATAGCAGAGAGGCCAGCTCTAGCTTTGTGTTTGCAGGCTGTAGCAGCGCTCCCTTCAGGCTCTGCTTGTGTGCTCTCTTAGAAACCTTTCTGTGGGAAAGCATTTTGTTCTGGCATTGCCCTTTCTCTCACAGAGCTGAGCCTGGTGGGTGAGCTCAAGAAACCCAGAAAACAATAAGTCTGCAGTCATCTTCTGTTCTTCCTCACATCCCAGATCAGTGCCAGTTCTGTGCTCACCATTCCCAGCCAGGCCCTTACATCCTGCACGTTGTACCCAGTCTACCTTCTGTAAGCCAACAGAGCTTGTGTCAGCTCTGCACTGAAAAGCCTGACGTTGCTTTTGTTTTCCTCTTGGATGAAATGTGTAAAGCTGTCCTGTCTGTTGGTGAGGATTTGCTTTCAGGAAGCTGAGATATGAAGGTACTTACCCCCAAATAGGAGATTCAGGTTACATCTGGCTCAGGAAATACATGCCTCATGGTTTGGTTGCTTGTTCATAATAACTTGCATGTGGGAGGGGAGTGGGGAAGAACAGGTGTTTGAACCCTCTGCAGCAGTTGGTTGCAGTCTTGCTGTGCTGCTGGTGCATACGTTAGTGATAGGACAAGGGGAATGGTTTTAAACTAAGACAGGGGAGTTTTAGGTTGGATATCAGGAGGAATTTTTTTAGCCAGAGGGTGGTGAGGCACTGGAACAGGTTGCCCAAGGAGGCTGTGGATGCCCCATCCCTGCAGGCATTCAAGGCCAGGCTGGATGTGGCTCTGGGCAGCCTGGGCTGCTGGTTGGTGACCTGCACACAGCAGGGGGTTGGAATCAGATGAGCGCTGTGGGCCTTTTCAACCCAGGTCATTCTATGATTAGCAGGGAGGCTAAGTGCTGGTATTTTGGTCACTTTGGTTTACTCTGGTGTGATCTTTCTGACCTGCCTGTGCTCTCATGTGAAACCAGAGAGCTGCAGTGTCCAGGGCTGCTCAGCTGCTGGTTTCAGGATGAACTTATCTATGTATTTGGGTTTGAGCGTGTTTTTTTTTGTTTTTTTTTGTTTTTTTTGTTTTGTTGCTGTCTCCAACATCCCTACCAGGAAACAGGCACAACACCAAAGAGTCAAAGATGTGACATGTCTGCAAGAAGTGACCTTTATTTTCCATGCCAGAGTGTTGTGTGAAAGCTGCAGCACCCAACCAGCAACACTTTTTGCTGAAAATGGTAGGGTAGCTTGGGGCCAGCGTTGGCTACAGGTGACATCTCTGAAATTCTGAGATGCTGCTTGCACTGTGGGCTCAGAGGTGGTTTTCAGATGTGCTTATTCAGAGAGCTGGTACTCATAAACTATAATTCTAGCTAGTCCAATTTTGTTTTAGGATAAAGCAGCAGTTTCAGGTTGGTTTGTTCCATTTCAACTTCCCCTGTCTGGGAAGTTGTGCTGCGAAGTCTGACATGTCAATATGCAAAGCACATCAAATGTGTCTGACAGCTGCTTTATTTTTCTTTTTTCCCCTGTTGCTTGGATAAGAGACTGTAATGTTGTAGGAAAGATCTTGCCATAAAATGATTTTATCTGTGACCCAAATAGTAGCAACCTGACACATGAAGGTTTTTACTTCATTCTAATTAGTCATTACGTCTTACGATGTTTGGAGCCTGAAAAAAACAGTTTAGCAATGTTCATTATTAAAAACTCTTTATAAGGATTTATGAGATTCTGGTGCCAACAGTAGAGAAATAAACTTGTATACAAAGCCATCATTCACTTTAAATTGACTGGTGTTATTCCAGTTTGGGGAAAGATGGCCAAATGTGTGTGAAATATGGCAGCTGATGGGCACTTCATCACGGGAGAAAGCTCTGGTTCCAGTAGTGGGTTCAGTGATCCTCATTCTGATTCATCACAAGAAAAATACACAACATCTGGGAAATCTTCCTTGTCCTGTGTGATTATTTTTAAAAAAATAAATTTAATAACCCACGTTGTTGTTTCGCAAGGGAAATCTAGGAAGCTGGAATTACCTGGTTACCGTCTAGAGATTTGGAAACTGCCTGCTCATTTAGAGTCTCAGTTTTAGGATGAGGAAAACCTTGCTGGAAAACTAGATTTGCTTCCTATGAGGGCAACGGAGGTAGTGAAACTTGTCTGGTGGGGTGCAGGTACAGCTCTGCTCTCCAGTGAAGAACAGCCCCACGGTGCAGCTGTCTCTCCCTCAGCTGAGGCACTTGCAAGCAAGTGATGCAGCCTTCCACCTGTGCTGGGCAGGCAGTTTGCAGAACGGTTGGATAAACCAGGTTTTATGATGGTTAATCCTCTGGCAGCTGTGATCGCAATGGAGCGGGACTGCCTTATTGCCTGACTTCAGTGCTGTTTGTAAGCACAGCTGTGGGACATCCCAAAGTCTGGCTGAATCTGTGCTCAGTGGACTTGGCAGAGCCACCAACGGCAGCAGAGGCCTGCTCAGCCTTCAGAGTTAGCTTTGAAGACGACAGCAGTGAGCTTGAAGAATGTGGGGCATGTTCTGTTTTTGCGCTGTGAACGCTTAGAACTGCTTTGAAGGCATATCTATGTTTATGGGGCGAGCTGCACGGCTTTTCAAGTCACATTTTCCTTTGTTCTGTTGGCAAGTAAACGAGCTCATCTCCATCATCCAGTTCCATTCTGAACAGAGGGGGGTGATGGCGTTCAAATAGTTGTTTTGTGGTGGTTGGGTTTTGTTGTTGTTTTTTTTTTTTCTCTCCTCGTGGTGCTTAAGTTCTCTCTCAGCCTCCTACACAAGAGTAAATTCTGATGCCTCTCAGCCGTCCCTTGTTTGGAGACCAGCCACACGCAAATAACTGCACTTTTATCTCCCTGTACATATGTAATTAAATCTGGCCCTGCGACTGGAGAGAGGCTGAGAAAGCCCCTGAGCAGGAGCAGAGGTTGATTAATAAGGATTATGTGAGATTGCTGATTGAAAGGCATCAGCAGTGATTGCCAGAGCAGTGGGAATGAAACGAGTGCCTGAAATGGTGTTTGCCACATCTTGTCTTCTATTTGCTCTAAAAAAGAATATTTTCTCTGTCTGTCCTGCATCCCCACATCAATTGTTGCATCCTGTCACCCATCCGTGATCCTTTAGGGGCTGTTACTTCTGCCACCCCGGAGATATACCAGTTTTGACTCTTAGAGCAGTTTATGCCTTGAAGATAAGCTTGCAGGTTTTCCCGAGCTCCTCCCCAAAGCTGTGTGTTTGACTAAGAAGCCGACCTGACAGGTGTAATTTAGTCTTGTTCTCTGTTTGTCTTTAACAGGCGACTGCTATGTCAGTGGACTGCCTGGGACAGCATGCAGTGCTCTCAGGGTGAGTGTGACAATCCCCATTAGAAATGTGTGGCAGTCACTTCCACAAGCCAAATCAGCAACCTTCGGGCTGACCCTCAGCTGAAGGGCTGATAAATTGTTTTGGAAAGGTGCAGCCAAATTCTGTTCAAGGAGCTTCCCAAAGAGGATTCTGGGGAACATGTCCAGTGGGACGCGGTTTACAGACATGAGCAACAACAAAATCAAATGCTGCTATGGCTTTATTGATGTATGCTTTCCCAAATCTTCTGTGGGAGGTGAGGCGTGAGAAAGCACTGTTTGGGTTCTGTTTGAAATAAATACTGTCATTTGCTTAAGATGAAATTTGCCCCAAAGACCCCCATAGTGTGCTTAGGGAGAGGAGCCAAGTTCCTCTCTGTCACTGACCTGTTACTTTAATGGATTCAGTGCAGGGTGATGCTTGTGAGGAGCCAAACACCCTCTGCCTTAGTTTTCTCAGGCTTATTTTCTACCCTCTGCTTTCCTGTTTCTCTTTACGTAATTCACTGTTGTTGCCTCCATCCATGAGGTATTAGCAGAGCTGCATCCATGAGGTATTAGCAGAGCTGATCTGACAGTAATGTATTCCTGCGTGCTAGTCTATTTGCCTTATGTCTCTCTACCTTTGATAAATCAGCTGTAGAACTTGCAATGGGATTCAAGAGGGACACCAAGGGACTGCGTGTGTTTTGTGTTGGTTGTGGCTCTGCTGATAGAAACTCCATGCCATGCAGAGCCCTGGCCCTTTGTCCATGCTGTGCATGCATAGGAGCAGCAACTGAGCAGTTGGTTTGGGCCTAACTTCATATTTCTTCCTCACACCCACCCACTTTAAAGTTTATTTGGGCCGGCAGTGTGCTGAGGGCAGTCTGTCTGCTATTCACTGTCAGGACCAGCTGCTTTTCAGAATTCTCCAGTAGTTGTTCAGGATTTGCCTCCTTTCTTTTAAAGGTGCATAGGAGCCTCAGAGCATAGGAACATCTTCACTCTTCCCCTGCCCTGGGGACTTGGTTCCGGAAGGGCAACAGAGGTGTTCTCTGTGTTCTTTCTCTTGGGAGAACTCCGTGCTCAGAGCAGCTGTACGCTCACCACGCAGCTGACACACGTGATGCTGATGTGGTTAATTATACACAGTTCCATATGTTTTCGTACTGGCCTTCCAGTAGAGTTCAGCGAGCTCACAGTTATTTCTGGGAGCTTTATCTTGTTTGAGAAATGAATCACACTGTGGAGGGAACGTCTCACCTAGCTTATGGGGAGTTGGCCATGTCCAGCAGCAAGCAGAGCACAGGTCCAGCAGCACGCAGACACCTCTCTTCTGCGTATAGAGTTGGCTCAGGTCAGCAATATAACCAGGTCAGCGCAGTGCTGCGTCCACCCACGTTCATACACTGCTGCAGCTGAGCTAGCTGTGTGTGGTTCTGCTTGTACTGCCTGCAGAAGCCCCCAGACATCGCAGTGTGAAAACCCTCAGCCACGCTTGTTAGGGCTGTTGACTCTTGTTCAGATCAGCCTCCACAGGGTGCAGCTGGCTCCTGTGCAGCCAGTGCTCTGTGCACCCAGCCTCAGCCACCTCCTCTCTGCTACTGCTCTAGTCCAGCAAAGTGTATCTGTATGCCTTTGCACCGTTTCCCCGTGCTTGCTGTCCAGGAAGTTTTCTGTAGTCTGAGCTGCCTGTTGCATGTACAGATCTTCAGTGTTTTTGTTGTATTTTTTTCTAACTGTTGTCTGTTTGGAATAGTTATCAAAAGTAGCGTTCTTAGGAAGGTGCTCTCACGTGTTTGTGAAGCTCCTCTGCTTGGCTGTAAGCTCCTCGAGAGCTTGGGCTTTTGGGATCAGCCCTGTGCCATGCCACCTGTCTGTGTCTGTGCCTTGCAGCCGCCGTTTCCTCTACATAGTCAACCTGGATGCACCAACCGAGGGCCATCGGAAGATCTCCCGGCAGAGCAAGTGGGACATCGGGGCAGTGCAGTGGAACCCACACGACAGCTACGCGTACTATTTTGCAGCTTCGGTGAGTCCACTCACTTTAAAAGCAGTAGAGCTCATCCTGTGCCCCGGTTCTCTATGGGTGGAATTCTGCACGCTTGGAAGGCAGCGTGGAGCTGACGTTGGCATGCCTCTGCAAGTCCCATAGCAAGACCAAGGCCTAATTCTGATTTACGGCTAGTGAGGTGAGGTGCTTGGCTTGCTGGTTCTCAGTGATTGGTCACTAAGTGCTGAATCTAGTTTTTCTTCCTTGTGTTTTATAAAGCACCTTGCCAGATAAATCGAGCATCCAAATAGTCCTGTTCTGGAAGGAAGGAAGGAAGGAAGGAAGGAAGGAAGGGGGAGGGGTTGTTCTGTTTCTAACCTGCATTCTGTTAAGAGATTTGTGCACTTATTGAATTTCTTGCTCTGTGCTGTTTTGTTTTCGCCTCCCTGCCTTCCTGGTGGGCTGCGGTGCAGCAGGCAGTCTGGAAATAGCACAAGTCAATACTGGCTCAACACTGTAACAATTAGGGACCAAAGGCAAGGGCTTTTTGTTAAACGTGTGGAGAAATAAATCAGCTGGTGTGAAGAAGCACTGGTGCAAGCCGTGTTTAAACAGTGCTCATCTAATGGCCATCTGAGGCTTGAGTGCAGTTCTTAGCTCTGATGTCTATCAGTGGTGCTATGTAGCTTGCTCACGCAGCATGCTCAGCTGCCAGCAGCAACCTTTGCTGCAGTCCTGGGCCTGATGGCTACTGGCTGGGTGCAGCATATTGTCATAGTGAGATACATTTGCTGAGTTGCTTCTGCTTTTATAGATGAGTCCTGAAACAAGAAAGTAAGGAGGTTTCTTCTGTTATTTTGTGAAAACTCAGTTGAAGATGATTTTTGTTCCTTCTCTTTCTTGGGACTAGCTATTATTGAAATTAAAGGTGGTCTTTAAAGTGGGCCAGTGTTGCAAGTTAGCAGCCTTTTTTGCTTTGCCCTCTGACATTCCCTGGCCCCCAGTGTTTCTCCTCCCAGCTCTGGTATATGACTGACATCTTTCAGGCACCTTCAGCAGCTGTCATCTTCTAAGTGGAGGGCTAACAAACCTTGCCAGGCGGTGTCCTTTGGTGCCACTTCTGAATATGGCATATGAAAAGCAAAACCAAACAAGGAATGCTTTGTGCAGGTTGTGAGTAGAGCAGGAAAGCTTCTTTTCAAACAGCCTGTCAGAGCAATAGTCAGTGATTGCTTATGAGCAGGACCTTCCTGCGAATGGGAGCAGATGCACATCGGATACCAAGCCCCCAAGACAACACCAGACAGCTTTCTCATTTTGGATCAGGATCACTTCCTTAACAGTCTTGCACTTAGCTGGCTTTTTGATCCTGATGCAGTCTGGCCTTGTCCCAGGACTAGAATTTAGCCTGCCTTGTTTAGAAGTGGAAGGTGTCAGCTCTGTGTCCCAGGTCAGGCCTGGAGGTGGTGTGGATGTGTTTACATAAGGCTGTACCTACAGGGCTGAAGTGATATTGGGAAGGCTAACTTAGCTTGCATTCAGCTCTGTGCTGCTTCTGGCCTTCAGTCCTCTCTGAGTCCTCTGCTGAGGCTGCCACATGGAGCTGGCTCAGGTGTGCCATGTGCTGCACCTCTGCATCACTGTGGGTGGAAAGGGAGTGCAGAAGGCTTCCCTCCTGCTTGAGGAAAGCTGCACGCTGTCTGCAGTGCAGCTGATTGGAGGTGGTGCAGTCAGAGGGGAAACCTGTCCTGGTGAGTGGGTGAGGGCTTCTCATTCTTTGACTTATTTCCAGAAGAACCGAACCAGGTCCTCTTGCTGTGCTTGGCTCTGTCTGCCCTCTGGCTCATTCCTAGGGACTCTAAGCCATTGTTTCACAAATGCTATTGTTTGCCATTCTAGATCCTTGTTACTCCTTTTGTGTGGTCACAAGTGCTTGAACAGGAGGGTGATTAAATTGTTGGAAGTATATGCTGATTCTTATCATGAGAAGCACTTTTTTGAAAGCACTTTCATGAAAGTGCTGCTGGTGGGAGGAGCTGTCATCCTGCCATGCCTGGTGCTACAGGCAGTACTTCCTACATGAGGTATTCCACTAAGAGCCTGTGAAACTTCTGGACGTTCTTATCTTGTAGCATCAGCTCTGGAGTCCTGGACAAATCCCACTGAAATTCATTCTACCCATTTCAGTCTTTCTTTCAGTGAGAAACATGCAAGCAGTTTTCCTTGCCCCAAGCTCTTCTATAGCCCTGCTGTGAGCTATTAGAGAACTGCAGTTATATTATTGCTGAGCTGGGAGGAGACCTCCCATTTCAGGGAAGGCTGGAGTGTTTTATCTGTCTGCTAGTTCAAACTCTTGAGAAACAGCTTTGGGGTAGGAAAAAAAAGCCACAAAATGTAAGATTTGTCTCTTCTGTATTATCTTTACCTCTGTCTGCCTGTGCACTTGGAAATGAGGGACTAACACAAATGAAATGTTAAAATCCTGTTATTTGGCTCTGTGTATGGAGTCAGGAGTTGGACTCAGTGGTCCTTATGGGTCCTTTCCAACTAGGGATATTCTGATTTGGCTTTTCTTTGTGAATTTCCAGTCATGGCTCACGACCCGCTGTGCTCGGAACTCTGTATGCACCCAGAAAGGCAATTTCTGTCCCAGAAAAGTGAGAGCTGGCCTGGGCTGCAGTGAATTTTGAGTAGGGCAGAACATGAACTTAAAATACAATGTCTAGTTTCAAGTAATGGTGTGGCTGTGTTTGAGGGAGGATTTATTCCTGGGACGAGTAAAGAAACCCTAAATAACGCTGTCATTGATTGATCAGGTTTGCTCCTGTGGTTTATAGTTAGAGGTAAGCACTTACATCTTTGAGTTTTCCCTGACCTGGCAAAATGGAAGTACTCTTCAGGAGGTGACCCTGAAACCATCAGACTGTGCTGTTCTCATTTGGCAGCGGCCCTGATTGTTGCAGAAGGGAATCGAGGGAGAGCTGAGGAGGACCAGTGGTGATCCATCATCTTCCTTGCTGAAAACTGGTTGTGAACAGGAACAGGCTGCCAGGCTGCTCCTGCAGGAAGAATGTGCCTGCCTGTTGCCTGCAGTTACAGCTTGTTGTTAAGAAATAAAAGTTCTGAGAATATCAGTTTGTGGAATTGTTTTGCAGTGTGATTTTTCTCCTGTTCTTGTTTATCTCCAATTTCAAGTGGATATAATTAGAGCGTAGGCTTTTGAGGGGCCTTGCAGCCTGTATGTTCATCTTTGTTCTGCTTTAGGTCAAGCAAGGGCTTTGTTACTCACAGTAGGAATGATTGCTAGCAGGATATTCAAAGGGAAGGGAACCTGGTCAAGATATGTGGATTCCTGTCTTGCCTTGTTTGCCTGGCACAGTCTCACTTCTCCCTTTGTATTTCAGAGCAACCAGCGAGTTGACCTGTATAAGTGGAAGGAAGGTAATGGGGAAGTTTGCACATCCTTGCAAGGACACACACGTGTGATCAGGTGAGGAACAAGTGAACACTGTGGGCTCTGCTCTGAGCTTTTTATTCATTGTCTATTCATTTATTCTTTTTATTCATTGTCCCTCCTGCCCCATCTTACTTTCCCATTTGGAGGAGCTGGCAGATGTGAAGTGGCTCTCCCCAGTATATTAGCTCAGCCTTCGATAGCTCCAGTGTCATTGCCTGAGGCTGCAGTCCCTGTAATGAGCAACAGCCATCACTGGGGAAACAGCAGCATGCTTATTAAACTGAATCCCAGCCACGTTTCTCTGAGGTAGCAGCTGAATTAAAGCAAATAATCCCAAAGATGAAGTTCTCAGTGAGTTAGTGGTGCTTCAGAGATAGAGATCTCTGCCTGTAGTAAGGGCACACTTTAGTGGCATTGTCTTACTCCAGCTCCTGACTTTAGGATGTAATGGCAGCAAATTGAAAAGGCAGTTGTTTGGGCTGCCTGGAGGCTGTTTGTATCCCTGGTGAGCCCAACAGGGAGGCCTTCCAGAACCAAGGGTTGGTGCCAAGAATGTGTGATAAGGAGGAGTTCACTAAGGTGCTGTGCCTTTTCCTGTGGAGGAAAGAGAGCACACAGGACAGCTATAAAGTCAGTGCTAGGGTGATGTTTCACTGGAATTTACTTAGAAGCATTTCAGTGCTTCTTGGAATTTACCTAGAGAAATGATTAAGATCTTGCTTTTTACTTGAAAAGTTTGAGTAGAAGTCATGGAGTAGCTGTGAGTTTGTCAAATAAATGTACTGGAGCTTGCAAGACACAGCTGCTAACGATGCCTTTCTCTGTTGACTTACGATGTCTTTGTGTTTGCAGTGACTTGGACTGGTCAGTGTTTGAACCAGACCTGCTGGTCACCAGTTCTGTTGACACATACATCTACATCTGGGACATCAAGTAAGAATCCAGATGCTTCTGCACTTCAGGGAAATCACTGGACTCACTTCCATGGTTTGCAGCTTGCACATGCTGAGGGGCCCTGCTTTTGGCCATGCTTGCAGGGTCTACATCTACTTCCCATAGTCTCAAAGAACGGCTTCTGTTTCCCTGCTCTAAGGCCAGCTCAGAGTCAATGAAGGGAAACCCATAGCTTATGGTTAAGCAACAGGCATGCTGCTGATTGGCAGCAGTACCAACTGGCTTCTCTCCCTAACTTCTACAGATCTTTCCTTGGAAGCTTTTCCTGAAACCCAGACGTTTTCCTCAACATTTTTTTCCCTTTAACTTGATGAATGAGCATCATTTCACGGTTCCAAAGTTGTTTTCCTCTAAATGCAGTGGCTGTGGCTGACACTCCCTCAGTGGTGGGAGCAGTAGTCAGGAACCTTTTCTTGTTTGTGACTTCCCTGGATTCCTGATGCTTTCTATCACGCGTTACTTCACAGTAACAGATCTGTCCAAACCCACCGGTGTTAAAACCTCATTTTCTGTACCTAAGAAACAAGGAGCTGGCATTTGCACTCCTGGATTGCCTTGCTGGCCATGCAGCAGCACTTCATGACCCCTGGCAAGTCACTTTGTTCCTCTCTGCCTTCCTTGCACAGTTGTAATAGAAGGATAATTACATAACCCCACTGCACCAGGGTACCCTGAGGCTTCCTTAGCTCCTATGAAGCACTTACATCCTTGGTTAAATGGTGCTTGAGAATGGCAATACATTATTAATGTGTAATTAAAAGACAGAGCGAGACAATAACTGGCAGTTGTGTTTTTTCTGCCATAATACCTTAATGTCAAGCAAAAAAAAGGTCTCTGAAGGCTGTATCGGAAGCCTTGATTTAACTCCATTGTGCCCTTCCAGCAGTTTGTCTTTGCTTGTGTCAGTTGTCCAAAAAATGCCTGCTCAGATGATTTCTGACTAGCCTGAACATCCCACGTGTGCTAATAATGCCTCAGCTTCCTGGGGGCAGTGAGATCCAAGGGCTGCTGGCCTCCAGCAAATGAACATCCTGGTGAAGCAGCTGTCTCTGATGAAGCCCTAGGGAGGTAACCCTGCAGGAAGGGTAGCTGAAGTTCCCCTTTTACTTTTTCATCCACAAAAACTTTTGGATTAGACAGAAATTCTGAGTGAGAGAGGTGTGGTTCATTTCAGACAACGTTCTGCTTTACAGCAGCCTAGCAAGCTGAAGGCAGTTTTCCTTGTTTCCAGTGGTATTTTTCATGGAAGGGCAGGTAACTTCCTGATAAGCAATGTCAGGTGTTGAATTATTGCCTAGATTCATGTCCCAGCTGCTGCATGTTGTCATGGTGCCACACTGGCTTACACCACTGCAGAAATTGATCTGTCTGTGCAGCTGGCTTTATTTCCTATTAATTTTGTTGCTGTATCACGGACATGAAGTCTTTGCTCTGCAGTCCCTGCTCCGTCTGCCTCCAATCAAGGTGTGCCGGGGCCTGGCAAACACAGCAGTAGCTTTTGCTGAGTTTTTCAGCAGTTCTGTTTGTTCCTTTTAGGAAAGGCTGTTTTGTTGCCTCCTGCAGCAACACCTCAGTGAGCCCAGTGTTCCCTTTGCCTGCCCAATAGCAGCATGCCACCCTGTTTGTGTGTTTCTCTTCCCACATCTCCATCCTAGGGCCTAACTGTGCTGCTGTGGTTTTTGGCAATAATGGCTGGTCCTTCAGCTGGTTACCTCCTTGTTTATTTCATTTAATGTGGCATATCTCAGTTCTAGATTTACCACTTAAGTAAGCGTAGTAGCGTTAAGATGTGTTAAATTCCAAGAGGCAACAATGAAATTAATCCTAGAATAGTGAGGAGCTCTCTGGAGAGGCTGGACTTGCTAGGCTGTGCCATGGGTCCTCACCTTATCCGTGTTGTATTTCAGAGACACCAGGAAGCCTACAGTCTCGCTCTCTGCAGTAGGTAAGTATGCTGTGGATGTGTGATGTCTGAGGTCAGTGTTGTGTGCCTCTGCTGTTATTTCTCCCTTTTTCCCATGCTCTGAGGCCAAACATAATGGAAATGCCACCATGGGTGATTGTCTTATGTAGGAGCAGCCCAAGAGGAGTTCACAGCTCCTATTAGAGGAGCAGAATGCAGAAGGAATGTGAAATAAGGGTGAAGTGCAGAAATTTCCTTGTGCTGCTGCTTTTTAGGGGTGGGTGAAAAGAGCTTCTGCATTCCTTTGCTGCCTGCCAGCCTGCTGGAGCTGTGGGGTTTTTGGCATGGAAACGGAAGAGAAAAGGAACTTATTGGGGTTGTTTAAAAGCTGGAGTGAAAGACTGATGAAATTAAGCACCCAGAACCTTCAGCAGGGCAGTCAAACAGCATGTGTGCATTCTGAATATGATCAGCTTCTACCCTGCTTAACCACACTGCTTGTCTTCTCTGTGCTGCTTGTCTGCAATTTCTCCTTTCCTTTTATGTTTGATTGAATTGAGAACCTAAACCATGCTCCAGGCAGTGGTATGGTATGCTGCCAGCTGCCCAGCCTGCCCCTGGCTGGGTGCTTCACTGGAGCACATTCAGTGTGCTGGGAGCTGCAACGACGACGTGAAGATGCTTTCTATGAGCTGTAGTCACTCTGGAAAGGCAGCTGTCATGGCTGTTGGCAGTGCCCAATCTGGCCACCTGTGATGCTGCCTGCTGGCAAGTGCTGTGTCCATCCTGACCAGCAGCCTGTTGGAGTGGAGCAAGGTATAGATGAGGAGCAAAACTTGTCCTTTTCCTGACTTGTTGTTCCTGGTGCTGCAGCAGTCCTTGTCACGTGCATCTTATGTTCTGCTTAGATCTCCTTTGGCTGCACATCTGCAGTGGCTCCCCATCCCTCCCAGCTGGGAAACCTCTCGACCACAGCAGTGCAGAAACCTTTCTGGATTGGCGAGAAGCAGCAAAAATCATACTGAATCAGAGACAGGCTGCACTCTGTTCTGGTGCCTGGGGTGAGGTTTCATAGGTCAGCTGAGCAAGCCCAGTACCCAGCTCCCCAGAGAGCCTCCTTCCTCCCACGTCTGATTTTGTTTAGTGCTAGTTCAGACGTTTGTGTGAACCCTTCAGTGAGTGGATCAACTCAATCAAGTGGCAGCTTCTTGGCAACTCTTTACCTCTGGACTTGCTTTTTGTCAGACTGACAGGATGAATCTGCTCACTGTGCAGCAGGAGGTAGGTTGTGAAGGCATAGCAGCAGGCTGTAAGATCTCTCGTTGGCCTCACCTGTCTGATGGCTTAAAATATTTGGAAAATATTGGCAGAAAACGATGAACAGAACATGTATTTTTCTTATAATGTCTGAACAATCCACATTGAGCAAAGTTTAGTATTGGAAATTTCCAGCCAGCTTCTGATTTTAGGTCCTTGGCTGAGTCCCTCATGATGCCTAGACCATCTCACAGTTTCTTTACCTTATGTCTTTGATTTGTGGTGTATTTTGACAGTTTCTTAGGTTGGCCTTCTGGTCCACCCAGTGTGGGTGAACTACAGTCTTCTCCCACATCTTTACTTTAATCATAGATGAGTATCACTAATGCCCTGTGTGGCATCTGGTTGTACAGAAGGTGGTTGGGAGCCAGGTGAATCCATCTCTGAGAACTGGGAGGTAGTTTGAATGAAAGTGGAAGGGTCTGGGGAGAGGAGTAATGCATGTGCAGTTTTCATCGAGAAGAAGTTGCTCCATGTGAGCTAATGAGCATGGATATCTTAATCCAGTGCAGCCCATGGTACAACAAGCATGCAATTGGAACACCCTTGCTTCAGTGTCTTCAGGGCACAAACACAAAGATGAGAAATCAGGAGTTATTCATTTTCATGCCACGCTTCTTGTTGGCTTCTGGGGTACCTTTCCTCTGAACTGCCTTTCTTGTGCTAGGAGCAGCTCTAATAATGGGTCAGGAGTGTGCTGTGCCACTTCTTAATTGCTCGTTTTGACCTGCTTTGTTTGTGCTGCAGCTGGAGCTTCCCAGGTCAAATGGAACAAGAAGAATGCCAACTGTTTAGCAACAAGCCACGATGGGGATGTCCGAATATGGGACAAAAGGGTGAGTTGAGGGTCTGTTGAAGTGCATGTGCAGATTCCCACCTTCCATATGCAGACTTCCTTCTGATAAATACTGGGGAAAAAAGTACTGCTTTATCTGCAGTCTCTTCTGTGGGGTGATTTAAACATGAGTCTGGAACCTAGAAGACGGAAGACAACGTTGATAGCATCCCTCCCCAGAAATTATCATAGAATCGTAGAATGGTTTTGATTGAAGGGACCTTAAAGCTCATCCAGTTGCAACCTCCTGCTATGGGCAGGTTGCTACCCACCAGATCAAGGCCCAGGATCCTATCCAACTCTGCCTTGAATGCCTTCAGGGATGGAGCATCCACTGCTTCTCTGGGCAACTTGTGTCAGTGTCTCACTTGACGCTGGGTAAAGAATCTTCCCATAACATCTGACCTAAATCTCCCTTCTTCTAGTTTAAAAACATTCCCTCTAGTCCTATCGCTACCTGCCCATGTAAAAAGTTATCCTCCCTCCCGCTTAAAGTTCCTTTTAAGTACTGGAAGGCTGCCATGAAGTCTCACTGGAACCTTCTCTTCTCCAGGCTGAGCAAGACCAGTTTCCTCAACCTTTCCTTGGTAGGAGAGGTGTTCCTTCCCTCTGATCATTAATTATGCCCGTTTATGCTTTGCTGATCTCAGAGTACTTAACTGTATTACTGAACATGAAAGTGTGGTGCAGGGCTGCACTTGGTGACTGTGGAATTTACCTCACCTTTCACAGCTCTTTTCCTTCCTTTCCAGCTGTTTTACTGAGCTAATACCTTCTCTTGGCAGGAGGGTGTTCTACCTCTTGCCCTTGTTCAAGTGTTGCTTTTTATGCCAAAGAGCTGAGCCAAATTTCGGAAGTCCTTTGCTGAGAAAGAAAATGTCTCTCCTTCCAGAAACCCAGCACTGCAGTCGAATACTTAGCAGCTCATCTCTCTAAAATCCATGGTCTGGATTGGCATCCTGACAATGAGTACACGCTGGCCACTTCCAGCCAGGACAACTCTGTCAGGGTAAGTATTGCTTCTGGGACTTTTGCCTGGGAGGCATCAGGATGGTGGAGCAGATTCTGTTCTCGTAATGCACTGGGCAGTGCTTGCCATTGGCAAGATCTGGATCCTGGATCCTTATGTCTGTTTTCTGGCAGCCTGTTTGTGTTGAACCAAGGGTGTGCTTACAAAGTAGACACAGAGAAATGATTGCAGGATGGATGCACATGTGCCATAGTTAACACAGCTGCAGTGATTTGAAACTGAAAACAGCTGCCTCTGCCTGTTGCTTGCCAGCAGTGCCTCTTCCCAAAGTGTGGAGTTGCCAGCCTCGAGCTGATTGCAGCAACTTGGTGGGAGCCATGCTCCAGCCCCTGGGGTTCTCAAACTCATGTGAAATTGGGTTATCAGTATGTCTGCAAGCATTGCAATGCAGAGCCTTACTTGAGGGGGAATAGTGTGCTTGGTAAGTCAGCCAAATGGAATTTATTCATGTTCAGCTAAGCTCTGAGGCGAATGCAATTGATGTGTATTCTATCACAGCAAAAGATTAGATTCTTCATTACAGAATTAGCAATAGCAACAAGGTGGGCCTGCCTCCAGTCTGGACTGGCACATGGGTTAGTCCAGACCTTCAGGGTACCTCGTGGCTCTGAAAGCCCAAGCAGCCTCCCTGTCTCCATGCTCTAATTACTCAAGCTGCGATCACTGTGGACATGACCACAAATCACTTGTTTTCCAAGAGCTGCTGCCAGATGCTGATCACTTGGTATTTGTCCTTTGGGGCCATCTCTGTTGTTAATGAATGGGGGTTCTAATGATGCTGTGTGCACCCTGGCGTATTTCTCACTGTGTTACATCTAATGACAGCGTGGAAAGCTGCAGCTTTAAAAGCATGGCCAGCTGACTTGTGCCTCTGCTTGATGGTTTTGTCTGGTTTGTTTTGTTTTCTTTTCTTTTTAAAGTTCTGGGATTACCGTCAGCCTCGGAAGTACCTCAATATCCTTCCCTGCCAGGTTCCTGTCTGGAAGGCGAGATACACGGTGAGTGAGAAACACCCACCAGCCCCACTTATGCCGTGAGAGCAAAATCATGAAGGCATGTTAAATAAAGAACTGCTGCAGTGCTTCTCGCCACTTCTACTTGATGTTAAATTGATTTTAAAGTCCCTTATGGTGCTTACAAGGCCTAGAAAAGTGATGTCTGCAATGGGGGCATTCAGGAGAAGAAATCACTGGCAGTGTGAAATCCCAGTCTTTGGCATCATCCTGTTGGGGATGAAACTGAGGTGTGAGTGATTGGCTCTGGGAGCAGGAGGCTTGGAAAGCAGCTGCTGCTCTCGCTGTCCTGTTTTTTCACTCGTGTCCAGCACTGGTACACGTAGCACAGACATTTGCCCTCTCTGAGGGCTTTCTCTGCTCCCTAGATCTCTAGTTGTGGCACACTGAGCTCTTATAGCATGTCAGATTCAAGAAGTGGTGCTTTTTGATAGAGCAAACACACAGCTGTGTGAAGCTAAGATTCTTCAGATTAGTCATACCTGTTCTCTTCTCTGGACATCTAAATATGTCCTGAAGTCAGTACTGCCTCTTGAGGCTTTGGTTCCTTTTCCTCATCCCCTCGTGGGGCTGTAAGAACGGGTTATAGTGTTCCTCTGAGAGTAGCTGCCAAGGCTCACCCCCTTGGAAGCAATTCTTGCAGTGATTGGTAAACTGCAGTAAGGATCCCATGTGAAAAGTCGATGCTGAAACCACTCCAGCCTCACAGTGGATAACTGAGGAAGCAGCAGAAAAAAGTGGCTAACCTTAAGTGAGCTGCGTTGACTCTAAGCACGTTACATCTTTTCCCTCTTAAGATGCCAGTTTTACACAGCAGATGCCTTGTCACTTCTGCTTTAGGCCTGGTTCTGCTTAGTGCTGAGCTCATTTAAAATCAACATGTTCTTATGGATGATGGCAGTAGGTGAGAATTACAGAGCATGCTAACAGCAGGGCAGTGTACCTCAACCAAAAGGTGTTTCTTTCTCAAGCCTTTCAGCAATGGGCTGGTGACAGTGATGGTTCCGCAGCTCCGACGAGAGAACAGCCTACTTCTCTGGAATGTCTTTGACTTGAACACACCTGTTCATACCTTTGTGGGACATGATGACGTGGTGCTGGAGTTTCAGTGGAGGAAACAGAAAGAAGGTGAGATCAGGGCTGGGCTCGGTGCTCTCTCTCCTGCCCTGCTGCCATCAGCTTTCCATGGCTCCTGGCTGCGATGCTCATGTTGTCACCCTCTGACTCTTGCCTTTCTTTGGAGCAGCTCCAGCTTGCTTTCCTGCCCCTGTCTGCTGCTGTTTCCCCCCCCCAAGCTACAGCTGTTTTCCACTCACTTTATCGCAGTGGCCTCAGAAGCATTGCCCTGTTGTTTCCATGCTAACAAAGCAAATCCAGCGAATGCTGAGTGGGTCAGCGGTGACTCTAACTGCTTCCTCTCCCCTGTGAGTCTATTTTTAAATGTATCTTTCAGAATAAATTGTGCAAACTATTAGATGGGTGTATGAGTGCAGGCGCCCTCCCCCTGCTCAGAGCTGCAGGCTAACCAGTTAACCCCTTGCATTGCTGCCTGGGTCGCAGCCTCCAGCGTGACCACGGAACCAATGTTCCCTCCTTTTCCATATGCTGGCAAAGGCAGGAGAGGGAGAGCGTGGGATGGAGAGGCTGCTGACAGAGTTCAACCCTGACTGCATTTTCCAGAGTAGGCAGCTAAATATAGGAAATTCCAGAACCTCATCTACCATCGGCAGAATGAACATGCCTGGCTTTGATGGTACTGCTTTGCAGTGTAGAGGCACACAGAGCTGGAGGGATCCTCCAGATTGGAGGCGTTACTGGCACACAGTTGAGCTGGGAGTCAGTTTCATCTCTGCTCTGCATAGCTGTCTGTGAGTGAATGGGAGTCCTACACTGGTTCTCAGGGCTGCTGTGGGACTCCTGCTCTCATTCCCAGGGATGTTCAGTGCTGTAATCTCTGACCTTGGAGCCTGTGCATCTGCCAGTTACTGGTGGTGAAGCTGACAGAGCACTGGACTTGGATTTAGGAGACCCGAATTCTAATCCAATTGTGCTGCTGGTTGCTGGGGCAATGCAATTAAGTCACCTTTTTCTCTGGTTTTTTTTTTTTTTTTTTTTTGCTTTTCTTTGAACAAGAGGTAAGCAATATGTCTATGTGAGCAATATAGAACAGGATCTGGAGGTGCAGTCTAAGAAAGCTTGTGTGAATGTTCAAGCAGATCTGAACCACACTTGCACTGTCTCAGTTGAATTCGTGTATACATACCAAGGCTGGAAGTCATGCTTTTCTCAAGGAACATTAATCATACGAGCATTTCCAGTCCACTTCAGTGCAAAGACAGCCAAGATGCCTCAAGATAGCACAAATCTCCTTGCACAGAGTCTGCAGTGCTGTATTTAGACAGCCACTGCGCCTCCACAGAGGGGTGTCAAAAGCAGTTGTGCAGCAGCAAATTCCTAAACAGCAGCAGCTGTTTAACAAGGGAAATTCAAACTGTATCACAAGGCCTACAAATGGACATAAATAGCCTGGTACCTTTATCTGCTGCTCAGTAGTATGTGTCTAGATGTATTTGGTTACAACCTGAACTTGTCTTGGCATCAGCAGCTCTTTCAGAAGGAAAAGGATGCCTAGGGCCAGGCTACTGTAGCGTAGGAATGTTTTGAACTGTTTGCATCTTAAAATGCCTTTCAGTTCATCACCTGTTTCAACTTTGCAGTAATGTAAAAATGAATCCATTTCTCAAGTACTTCTCAAATCACTTCTTCCGCGTCAGTAAGCTTTATGGGCAATCTTGTTCATTCCTGGTTTGAAAACCTGTATCACATTCATTATATTTATTTTGTGGCTTTCATCTGTAAATTATACCCTAATTAGAGGCATGGTAACTGTGGTGCAGGAGGAGGCCCAGGTCAATTCAAAGCAGGATAGGAATCATAGGATTTGTGAGTTCTGCCTTTCAGTGTAGTGCCTTGTCCACACGACCTCCCTGCCAGCTTGCTTGCTTCTGTTTGCACTTAAAGCAGCACAGAGATACGGTCTCAGTTTTCGGTTGGGTCTATAAGTTTCTGTCCTTTTTAGGTTCTAAAGACTACCAGCTGGTTACGTGGTCCCGTGATCAGACTCTGCGGATGTGGCGGGTTGACTCTCAGCTGCAGAGGGTACGTAAACACCTGAACTGCAGGCAGTTTGCTTACAGGCTGGGTTCACCTCCCTTTCATTGCGCTCCCAGTCACTCTTCTGGTATCCTCAGGCTGCAGACACAGCAACAGGCTGCTACTTCAGTTCCCCCTTCAGCTCCAGCCCAAATGTGACAAAAAACATCCCCAGGGAGGCCTGTCTTGAGGCCTGTGTGTGTGTGTGTGTGTGTGTGTGCAAAGCCACTTTGTCATGTAGCAGTAAGCATGCAAGGCTTTGGGGAAGGTGAAGAGCAGCTACTGCCCAGTTGCCTCTGAAGATGCCACCTCTGTTGCTGCCAGACTATTCTTGGCATTCTAGGTATCAGGTAAATGCAGGAATTGCACCCTCTGCTTCATCTCCTGTTTCCATTGACTCTTGGCCCGGTGCAGGCAGGAGGAATTCCAGTGTTCTGCTGGGTGGCAGCAATTACAAAGTGCTAAAGCAGGCTAGGTTAGCTCTGCTGGGCCAGAGCAGAGGGCTCATACAGGCAGGGTGGCCCGTATTGCCCTGCTTGTCTCATCTTCAACTGTGGTTATTTTGGAATGAATGCAAGAATATAAGAAGCAAGTATGAAGTGATATTTCTCTAAATGCCCTTGCATTCTGTAGTTTACAGCTTAGAGACTTACCAAGCCTGGCATCTTTGTATTTGGTAGTGCTTGATGGGCTTCACTTCCATAGATTTGCTATGACTTCCTGGACTTGTGTACATCTGTCATCATAAACACGTTGTGAGCAAGGAGTTTCATGGCTTTTCTGCATGCTGTGTAGGAAAACAGCTCCTTTCATTTGTTAATTTTGCTACCTGATAGTTTTGTTTTTTTTTTTTTTTTTTTTTTTTTCTGATACATACTTGCTCTTAACATTGAAGATGAAATGAGCAAGCAATCTCATACCACCTTGACTGCAGATTTCTGTCATACAGACCTCTTGGTACATCTCAGCTGTCTCCTTTGTCTCTAGTCAAAATATCCTGATTTCCTTCGTCCTCTTTTGGTCATCCTTCTGTATTTCATGGCCCTTTTTCAGCTCTGTTTTTTGGGATGGGGATCAGAATGTTGTTGTTAGCACAGATTTCCTAATATTTCATTTGCTTTTAAAATGTTGGGTGTAATTCCATGAAAACATCAGCTTAGTCTGTTCTCTCTGTCTTGCTCCCTCAGTCAGCTTGAGCTTGTCATTTTTTTTGCCTATGTGCATTGCTTTATATTTAATTGAACCGAAGTTCATCTTTCCTGCAAGGTCCTTCTCTGCCTGTTGGTAGTCAGCCTCTACTTACTACCCTGAATAACCTGGTGGCATCAGCAAACCTGGTCATATTGCTGTTCACCTCCTATTCAGTGTTTCTGATGAATATGTTGAAGCAGGTGTCCCAGCACAGATCCTGCAGGAGTTCTGTGGGTCTGTAACAAACCTCTGTGAAAAGTGACCCTTTATGCCTACCTGATTTACCTGTGGGTAGTTTATTTCTGTCCTTTAAACTGGTTGTTTCTCTGTATTGGACTTCACTCAGCCTCTGCTGGCTCTTGCTCCTCACTTGTTCTTGTTCTTTACCAAGCTACACCCGATGGCATGTTGCTGGTGACCAGTATTGTAATTTGCTACATCATAGCCTTATCCTTTCTTCTCCCTGTGTTTCTTCTCTTCATCTCCTGTTTTCCTGTGCTAAACCTGTGTTTTAAGCTGTCATCGTCTCTGTTTTGGTACAGGACCTAAAGCACTAGGGCCTGTAATATTTACTTGGGCTTCCAAATTCTGAAGTGTGAATGTAAAAAAGCAGATAGCATGCTGCTGTCGCATCTGATGTAAAAATTAAGTGACTTTGACACACGAGCACACTAATTAAAAGTGTTTTTGTTCAAAGTAAAACCTCTGTTACTTAGCCTGGTGATGTCAGGCTAAGTAAGTAAGAAGTGACTTTGTAAGCAAGCAAGGCACTCAGTAGGGACAAAAGGGAGAATGTTGGAAGGAGGAAAAGCAGCCTGTCTTGTCAAAGCAACAGTGCCAAGGTCTGTGACTGTGGGGCACGCAGGCTCACCTTGCAAATCCAGAAATCAGTTGTTTAGTGGCTTTTCCTTGTTTTCTGTTGTGCAGCATGTTGGTGTGCTTGTTCTTTTCAGCTGTGTGCTAATGATATCCTGGATGGAGTTGATGACCTCATCGATGGGATTTCTCTTCTGCCTGAGCCAGACAAGACCCTTCAACCACAGGACTCTGAGCCCCAACACAGCTCTGGACATGGGGATGAGGAAGGTGAGGCAAGTGATGAGTTGGGGAGCTCTAATACCAGCTCTCTTTGTGTTGGGAAGAAGATGCATCACAACCTAAGAAAATAACACTGTAGGCAGAGCACAAACTGGTGTTGTTTCAGAGGTTACTGGATTACTGTTTGGGGGGAGAGAAAACACAAGGGCTTTCTCAGGATTATTCTACCAACTTTCTTTCTCTTCTAGCATAATGACGTCATTTTAGTTGTAAAACAAATCTCTTCCTTGTCACTAGTAGCACTTAATAGCATTGCCTTTAGCTCATCTTTGTGGCTTCCTGCCAGAAATAAGGTAATCAGAAAATCAGTTCTGATTCTTAAGAATGCATTTCAGTTTAAGCTGAGAGGTGAATGAGATCCATGGAAAAGGGAGGCTCATGGATAAAGTGCTGTGACACAAACTGCTTGCCTGGTATCTAAATCCTTCTGCTAGAGACACTGTGTGAAGTGATCTGAGAAGAACATGGACATATTTGCAGTGTCTTCTCCCGTCTTCCAAAGTATTATGGAGAGAGCTGCTGTCTTTTTCCCATGTGCTGAGAGCAGAGGAAGAGGGCTGTAAACTCTATCCCATGAGTACCAGGCAGTTAGATAGAGCTTCTCAGCGAGCACTGATTTGTCATTATGGAAGAGAAGGCAAACAAAGGCAGGAATGTGGAGCAGGGTTTGTGTGGTTAAGGCTCTGGCCAGGTTAAACATTCAGGGTAATAGTGTTTGAAGAGATTAGAATAAAACAGAAGAGGCTGCAGCAGCTGAGACCCAAGGTGGTGATGTGCACATGAAAAAGCCATCTAAAGAGGTTTCTATTATCTAAAGGAAGAAGAGGAGGAAGAATGCAGTGCTCCCATGTCTGTGTCAGGTTGGGTTTAAATTCACATTTCCTTTCTGTACTGAAGCAGGGTGCTACAATGGATGCCCGTGTGGCAGGTTTATAGGAAAGCAGTTTGATTCTCCTTCTGGGTTGCCAGCAAGCTGAAGAGAAGGTGAGGAAATGGTCTGATAACTGTCCTCTGAATCATAGTGACAGCTCTGAGGTCCCTTAGGGAAGCTTTTCCTGATGCTGGAAGATTCCAGCCCAGTGAAGTTCCTTTGTAACCTCCATGGGTGCTCACAGAACAAGCTTCTAAAGGTTGCCAGCACCTCTGTCTCCATGAGGATTTTAGAATATGATAGCAAGTGTTCTGGCTCTCTGTGCTTACCATGAGCAATCCTGTATGAAGAGGCACAGACTCTCTTGCTCTAGCTGAGAGTATTAAGAGAAGGGATGTCATTCTGACTACCTGATCTCTCCAAGGGAGAGGGTCTTTCGTGTCCCTGATGAGGTCACATCCATGGTGTGGTTTCTGTGTGGGTCTGGTAAGACTTCCTTTGTTTCAGAGGGAATTAAAATTAAAATTAAAAAGGGAAATAAAAGTCATTAAAATGACTTTTCTGTAGGAGGGTAGATGTTGTTGCAAATAGTATGACTTCACGATCACTGCACGAGTAAGTCTCTAGGTAGGAGTTTCAGCTCTTTCCAGTCCACAAGCAATTGTGGACTGCTGATGTGAGCCACCCTGGAAGTGGCTTAATTTCCATTGCAAAGTCTCCATGTTAGGTTAGTAAAGCTCTATGGGGGATCTTTAAAGAGAATGATGCTCTACAGATAAATTGGAAAGCACACCAGCTGTGCCTTCAGTGTACAGCTCTTCTCACTGGTTGTTGCCTATAAAAGATCATTAGGAATCTGGACAGATATGTGGGCTTTTGGAGATTAGAAGCTAATTGGAAGGGAAGAGGGGGAGAAGGCAAAGGGAAGGCAGTGCCCATTTTAGGAACCTCAGGGATGGCTTTTTAGTTAAGCTGTGGTGGTGTCTTTGAGCTAGAAATGATTATCTTCCCTGAGAGCCACTGATCTTCCTTTAATCCTTTTTTCAGTTCCCTATTGTGAGATGTATATATAAGCACTATAATAAAATCACAAATAGGAATGAGTAGCTAAGCATCCTACCTGTCCAAATTCAGCAGCCAGCTGGGCAGCAGTAAAGCCAGATATATTTGTCCCAGCAGCAAAGACAGTGACTTTCAGGCAAACCCCTGTACAAGGATAGCCTTTTTTTTGCATTTCTTGTTTTCTGTTTTCTCCCTAAGAATAGTCTGTGTGAGATCAAGGTGAGAATGACAGCTGAGTAAATGGGACGTCCCTTGTATCTTTTGATGTTTCTGAGGACATATTTGGTCAGCTTAGGAAGGGTTGCCACAGCAAAACCCCTTGAACAGGAGCTTCATCTGTCCTAATGGAGGTGGGTAGCAAGAGTTAAGGCAAGAGCCAGCCAGGCACAGCAGGCAGTGACCAATTCTTTTGAAACTCAGTCGAATTGGCTATCTTAACCGTAATTCCTACTCAGCAGCACTTGCCTGGCTCTTTAAATACATTCTGTGTTTGAGGGGTTATTGTCCTCCTGAAAATATTGATAGTGGAAGAGGACAGCTAGATCCAACACTTAAATGAGTCTTTAAGGACTGTTCGCTAGAGTGCTTTACAACATTAAATGGACACTGCTGCTTCAAATTAATTACCTCTCCTAAGGCCAGAAATACCCTCTCCTCCCTCCCAAAGCCTTATTCATCAGATTGCTTTGGATGCATTCCCTGAAAGCCAAGAGCGGTAGAGTATGAATCCCAAGACCAGAGCTCCTCCTGGAGACTGCTTTGGCAGTACTTCTTTCCTGCCAGACCGAGAGACTCCAGTTCATCTGTTCATGTCTGGCAGTGCTGTGTAGGGAGGAGAAGGTGTCTCAAATGAGTGGAGACCAGACTGTTTTAAGGCTGTATGGAGTACAGGTGGCTTCTTTAACCTTCTTGGGAAACCATTGTGCAGACAGATTGTTTTTGTTTTATGAACAAGGCTCTGAAGTCTTCCTCTAAACGACAGCTTAGATCCTTGCCAGGTAGAGCTCGTGCTTTTGTATATCAAAAAGCTGCCTGTTCTCCTTGCTGCCTCGTGGCATTGCATGCCAAAGCTCTACTCTAACTTGTCTTCGCCTGTAATGCATCTTTTCTGCCAGCCTTAAAAGAAGACTTCCTGAACGACCTCCTGGTGGGAAAGAAAACAGACCAACTGGGGCTGCCTCAAACACTGCAGCAGGAGTTCTCACTGATCAACGTGCAGATCCGAAATGTCAACGTGGAGGTAGTTTTCTTTCACCACTTGGCTAGAAGGGGATGTGGGCAAGCTGGCTCGTCAGAGCCTTCTGAAGGGAACTCTCCTGCTGCAGTGGGTTTATTTTGAGCCGTAGAGATCCTGTTGGCCATGGCTAGTAGAAAGGAGGATAATTGCAAACACTGGGAGTGCGAGAGGTATTTCAGCATAGTAACTGTGCTGGCACTGGCCCCAAGGAGGCTGGACTGTGTTTTTCTTCTGCCAAAACTGCAGAGGGGCTTGTTCCAGTACGTGCAGCTGATCTCATTTCAACTGTTTCTGAACTCAGTCAGATCAGCCCTCACTGTCCCACGCTCTGGCCCTCAGTTTTGGCATCTCTCTTTCACAGCAGAGCCTCTTCTGTGTGTGGAAGGTGACTGAAGGCCCAGTGCAGTGCTGGAATAGCAGGCTTGGGGCTGCTGCCTGTCATCTTTCCCCACCACTGTGGTTTCACATTTTCAGATGCCTTCCTGAGAGTCCTGTATGGTCGTAGATGCCTGTTAGTGCTGCGCTGGGCCTGAAGTGTTCTGTGGCCAAGGGCAGGGGGGTGGAGTGCGGCAGCTGTTGGGAGCTGCCTGATTCCTGCTGCAGCCTGGGCTGGCTGGAGTCTCCAGATGCTGCTGGACTGGCAGTCTGCTGGTGAAAACTGTTCCCTGGGTTTTTTTGCTGTTGCTGTGTTCATTGCCCGTGACAACAGCACGACTTTGTCTTATGGGTGTGCAGGGGAATCAGTCCCTCAGTTTGAATTGAAGCCACCACAAGTTAAAAGGTCCTTGGAGATCTGAATGCAAGGCTATTGCTGTTCCTCACACAGATGGATGCGGTGAATCGCAGCTGCACAGTGTCAGTGCACTGTGGCAACCACCGAGTCAGGATGCTGGTGATGTTCCCTGTCCAGTATCCCAATAATGCTGCACCATCCTTCCAGTTCATCAACCCGACCTCCATCACTGCCTCCATGAAGGCCAAGCTGCTGAAGGTATGTGGTCCAGCAACTAGACACGTGCTCAACACCTGCTGTCTAGACTTCTGGCACAGTCAGACCTTGCTGAAGGTATACCACAGACTGTTTGAATTGACGTATTCTGGAGCCTGTAGGATGGGGTGTTTGTTGGCGTTGCAGCCTAGTTCTTTCTTTTCCCCACTGATGCTTTTTGAACATGTTTTTCTCTGCATCTTGGTATGAGTGTCATGTGTATTACCTGAGGATCCTCCTAGAGCAGCTGCCCCAAGTAATAATAAAAATTTGTCATAATAGACAAAATGACCAGCAAAGCATCCATTTGCAAAATGGCAGTATTTCTGAGCTGGCATGTTGTTTCCTGCTTTCCTCTAAGAGCTGTTTTAAGAGTTTTGCACAGAGCCCATTAATTCCAGATCAAGTGTTTGATCAATTGATGCAGGAAGTCCTATTGCTGCTGAAATCGCTTCTCCTGCAGCAAGGGCTGCTCTCCCTTGCTGCTCCTGTAAGAGCACTAGGAAAGCAGGCTTATTTTACCTTTGGACCACAAAGAAAGGATGAAGTGCTAGGCTATTTCCCAGTATTTCCTAGTGTAAAGCACATAGAGGTGGTGACAGAAAGCATTGCTGGCTTTGGACTTGTTTTCCCTGCATTTTGTTGTGTTCTGCTCAAAGCAGAGTGGAGGATCACAGATGCTTTGTGTCTTCCTTGGAGAGATGAGACTTTTTTTTTTTTAATATTTGACTGCAGACCATTGGGAATGGTTTGTATTTGAATGGAAAGGAATGATGAGAAGTTGCTCTTTAAGGGAAGGAAGCAAGAACCTGGGGTTTCAAAGTGTATGAGTGCCTCAGCTTTGGTCCTCCCGTGTCTAACAGTGTTATGTGTTAGGGCTGAAATGGCTGCCTTGGAGCAAAGTAGCCTCAGGCTTAGGCCTAAGCTTATCCATCAGGCAGAAGGACCCGTTTGGGTTCCTTCTTGAAAAAGCTGGATCCAGTTTGCCACAAACTGGTATGGAATATTATGGGCTACAGTAATACAGAAGCCCAAAGCCTGGATCAGGATGTGCTGAACATCGGTGAGCCCTCAGCGCTCTGATCAAAGCTCAGTCATTCTTTCCTTGAAGCAGGCAGCGCATCAGTGGGTGAGTGTGGCTCCAGTGGGTGCTCTGGGATGTCTCTGGCCCTGCAGTCTCGTGAGCCTGGCAACTTTGCTGCTCTGCAGACAAAAAACGATGTGGGAAGGTGCGGATATAACCATGACTCAAGCTGTATCTTGCATGTATTCCAGATTCTGAAAGACACTTCCCTGCAGAAAGTGAAGAGGAACCAGAGCTGCCTGGAGCCCTGCCTGCGTCAGCTCGTCTCCTGGCTGGAGTCTGTCGTGGTATGGAGAATTCCATGGGCTCTCTGCCCTATTTTGTTGTCTTCTCTCACATCCCACGCTTCTGACTCTGCATGGAGAGTCTGGCCTCATTAGGCATGTAAATAGACCCCTGTGACTGGCTGATAGATGTGTGGAAGTTCTTGTGGTTAATGTTGAAGAAAACAGAGTTGGGTGATCAGGCCCTGAAGCTTTGCTGTTGTGCGGGTGCTCACTAATAATTAGGTTAGCAGGAGTTACTGTTGGTTGCAGCATCACAGTGGAGCACGGTGGCTTTCCAGCTCTGAGCAGATCTCACTGACCAGCAGGGCATGGATATCAGCTGTAGAAGAAAATAAGATGTCAGGAAGGTGATGAGTTCATTCTGGTCTGAAAGGCAGTGGCTGAAAGGCAGTGGCAGATGTCTTTACCTCTCAGTTGTATTCAAAGGTCGTGCCAACCAGAGGGCTTTTGTTTTCTTCCTTTGAACAAAGATGTGAAAGTCTGGTTTTTTTCTAAAGCTTTGTGCAAGGGTTATATAGGGTTGATACCACAAATAAATGCAGGTCCCACTCTGCCCTTAGCTGAGAGATTGGTGATACCTACTCAGCATCCTGGTGTCAGGTAATAGGTCTGTGGGTGGGTGCAGTGTACTGTAACGTGTGTTTTTAGCATTCTGAAAAAGATGAGTCTTCTCAGATTTCTTTTTCAAGAGGTTTTGTTTATTCATCATGAATAAGGGATCTTTTTTGTTTGGAGGTGTTTTTTTAATTTTTTAAATTTTCTTTTTTTCCATGTTGGAAGCTTATTTCTGTTTGGTTTCAGCAGTACTTGAATGGAAAATTTGAGTCAGATGCTTTTATAGGATTCCTTTAGACCTGAGCTGTATCTTTTCCAATTGAATGCAAATTTCTGCCAGAATTTCTCAGGGCAGACCTGAGATCTCCCAGACTTTCACCACCTGCCTCCCTCACTTCAAGATGTCCGGCTTTTATTTGACACCCCCACGTTTGCATGGGGTGTCAAGATGGTCATCTTTAAGGTGACTTTGTCTTACTGGCGTCATCGAGGTACCAGGTTTTTCTCAGCTTTGTGTTTAGTTGCTGGGAGTCACATCTGAAGGTCAGATTTCCTATATAGTTTTCCCTCGAGACCGCTGTTTCCACCCTAGTTGAGCTCTGCATTTCAACACAGCCGTGATGGGAGAGAGCTCTCCATACAAACAGCAGTGCAGAGGAGCACTTGGCTCAGAGGTACGCATGCTTGCAAACGCTTTCGGAGCCAAAGTGGTAGCTGTGCTCTCTTCTTGATCTGCTTTGACTCGAAGGAGAGGTAGATGTCTGTGTGAGGCTGCTTGGCACGAGGATTCCCAGTGCTCCAGCTGGGTTTCCTCCATGTGGCAGCAGGAGCATGACCTTGTCTAACTTTCTGTTTCAGAACCAAGAGGACAGCACGTCCAGCAACCCCTATGCTCTGTCCAACTCCGTGACGACCCCCCTGCCCACCTTTGCCCGGGTCTCCAATGCCTATGGCTCCTACCAGGACTCAAACATCCCATTTCCACGGACCTCTGGAGCCCGGTTCTGTGGTGCAGGTTAGCCTCGTCACTGATGCAATGGCAGCCATCAGAAGAAGGGTACTTAAAAGTACATCTTGGGGAACAGTTGCATCTGAACAAGACAAGGCTTTGCTTGCTGCCATGCAAGGAGTATTAAATGCTTCTCATGCAGCTATATTGTGATAAATTTGCAGATAATGGGCCTGCTTGCAGTTGGTGTTCCATGTGGGATTTTAGGATACAGATCTGGAAATCCAGAATTGATGGAAGAGATGGCCTTTGGCACAAGGCATGCCAAGGCACTGATGTATCTCTTCATTTTCCAGCAGTCTGGGGGTAGCTTTTATCCTTCCATAGTTCCCTCCTGCCCACATCAAATTGCTGCATGTACTCTGGCTCTTGTGTCTTCACAAAATGTAACTTTGGGTTGAACTTATCCTTTGTTAAAAGTTATTCTTGTTACTCAGTGTTTTGAAAGTTTTTTTTTCATACACATTTCACTGAATTCCAAGCATAAGTAAAACAGTAATGCTGCATTGAGCAGGCTGAGTGAAACCTGCTCTGCTTCAAAACTCTTGCACCTGGGTGAGTGGCTGAGGACACTTGAAATGGTAGCACATGGAGTAAAGCTTGTGGGAGCACTTTGGAGGTAGTGTCAGATGGCTTGGGTTTTCCTTTCGAAGAGATTTACCAGCTCTTGTGAGTTCTTTGCATGTTAATGGCCTCACTTGCATCTGGAGTATCAGAATGCCGGACAATCCTGGTGAAGAGGTAAAGCACAAAAGTATGTGTGTGTCCAACAACTTGTGTTGCTGCTTTAAGGCAACCAAACATGCTCTTTCAAGCATTTGAAAGAGGTAGATTTGGGTTGGGAAAACTATTTAGAAGCATTCAGAGTAATGGATAGGCCTCTAGGCCCTTCATGCCACCCCTGGGCAGTCTGCTCCTCCTGGCAGAATCTTTATTCTGTGTCCTGTCCCTGCAGGGTACCTGGTGTATTTCACGAGGCCCATGACCATGCACCGTGCAGTGTCCCCAACGGAGCCCACACCCCGGTGAGTTGCCTGCATCACCTTTCAGATGTTACACTGCCACGTGGGCAGAGAGGCAGATCCTGTGCTGGAGCTGTTGGCCCTCAGAAAGCACTGTTAGCTGTGTGGCACAGCCTGGTCCCATAGGTCCCAGACCCCTTCTCTCAACACACCTAAAAATGCTACTCACAGCTTGGGTTAGAGGAGTTGTTTGTCTGAGCCTTCAAGACGTTTTGATGGATGTAAGCTCCAGAAAGCATGTCCTCTTGTTCCTAGGTCCCTGTCAGCTTTGTCAGCATACCACAGTGGCCTCATTACTCCGATGAAGATCCGTACAGAGACTCCAGGCAATCTGCGTTTGTACAGCGGCAGTCCCACGCGCAGTGAGAAGGAGCAGGTCTCCATTAGCTCCTTCTACTACAAAGAGAGGGTAAGCACCGTGCTAAAAAGCCTTCCCAGTACTTCAGCTTTTGACTTGTACTCTTTTCTTACGGCTGTGAGCATTGCTGGTAATGGTAGCTTCACATTCCTCTGAGGAAGGAATCTTTTACAAGCAGCTCTGTAAAAATGTCGTATGGATTTATCTACTGTTAGTAATTTTTTTGCTGATCCTCTTAGCATTTGGCTTGCTTGACTTTAGCACTTTGAGATCTCTCAAGACTCACCATTACAGCTTCCTTCAGTTCACTGCCTCCCTTCGCATTAGATGCGGTTAAAACCTCACACTTGAGAAGCTTTAGTCTCCATCTAAGTACATTGCAGGCCACTCTGATTTTCTCTGCACCCTCGATGTGTATAGCTGCAAAGGGCTGGGGACCTGTGAAGCTTACTGACAGTCTCTTCTGGATTATGGGGTATATTTGAGTGATTTCTGTTACAGGTGTCTCTTTCAGGGATGTGTGCCCCTTTGGACTATTTTAAAGCAAAAAAAAAAAAAAAAAAAAAAGGTCCTTTCATGATCCTCCAAAGACCTTTTAATAACCTGTACCTCTGTTTTAGACATAGGCCTTGTATCACTGCTGTTCACAAGCAAGGCTTTGGGGAAGAGTGGGGATTGTTTCCTTCCAGGGCACATGGGGTGCAGAAGGACAGTTGGAAACTGCAGGGTAGTTCTGCAGTATTAGATGGCCTGATTTGCCATGAGGACGTTGGGCAGAAGAGCTGATGCCATGGGAGCAATCAGCCATGCAGTGTGCTCTGAAACAAACTCCCTGCGCTTCGGCAGGAAGTGGTGTGGCTTACAAAAAGGTAGTAAGCTTTCACTGAGAGCCTGAGAATTCAGGGCATTCAAGCAGTTTGTCACTGTTTTGTGGGCACATTTCTGTGGCAGTGAAGGAGAGCTTCCAGGTACCTAGAGAAAGCCAAGTGCTCCATAGCACTCTGCTGCACTGGAGCTCAGGAGCTCCTGTCCCAGGAGCAGAGGAAGAATCAGAGCCTTGAGTTTTCATCCTTTCTTGGTGCTGCAAGAAGTCTTGATTTTTCCAGTAGTCCCAAACATGACAGCCAACCCTTCTGGGGTTGTGTCCTGCTTATGTGAAGCCAGTTAGTGATTGCACCTGCCAGCCTCTGTCCCCATTGCAGGTTTTGCTACCATTCAGGCCCTGGGAGACTCTTGCAGTCCACATTATGTTATTTTTTTTTTTCCCTACACAAACTTCTTTGGATGAGAAAACAGCACTGCCTGATACAGGAGTTACAACCTGCCCTGGTCTGTGCAGGAGAGCTTATTTCAAGTGCTTCTTCTGTCCTCTGCAGTGTGCTTGTCTCTGACACGCAGCTCTCTAAGATGACAGACAAGGCTAAAAATAACATGGAAGCAGCTTGGTGCAATTTCATGTGACCCATCTCCCCAGTCCGTGTGGCAATGGTGACAAGATTTTTGTCAGGGTGGGGAGAAAATCTAGGGAACAAAGTGTGTGTGTAGGCTTGTCGCCTGAAATCCAGGGAAGTAAATGGCTGCTCTCCAATCCCATGCTAAGCTCTGTCCTTGCATCCTGGGTTGGAAGAAGTTGTAAGAACCTTAGAAGGGAGCTAGCAAAAGTGTTCTGCAAATGAGATAGTTCTAAAAAGCCTTCATCTCCCTTCAGCAGTTTTCTGGCTCTTCAGGAGCTGATGTTCCCAGCCTTTGTAGATCAGTGCTGAATAGTTTCGATGTTTAACTGTGAGGATTTTAAGGCATAAAAACCCCAGGCTCTGGATCTCGTTAGCTCCTTGCTCTGAAGCTTGAATTTTATATTTCCATTGAATAAAAAATTGGAATTTGGTGGTAAACAAAACCGAAAATCCTATAACTTCATCCCCAAAAATGAATTTCTCAGAGATGACCAAGCATTTGAACTGAAATCCCATGTAGCAATGCACTAGCCTTGCTGCCATGAACAACTAAATGGAATGTGTGTGTTGCTGGGTGGGGAATGTGTCGTGTTCCCAGAAGGGCAGAGGAGATGCAGCAGAGATCTGCTTAGTAGACAGCACAGCTACACCAGCCCCTGAGCCTTCCTGGGCTCCTTCACAGATGTGTGTCTGTACTCAAGCATATCTTTCCACTTTTTATTCACACATGCATGCTCCTCCAAAAAATAAAAATAGTCATAATGCAGCAGTCCATCAGCAGTGCCCGGCTGCAGGCTTCTCCCAGTGGTGAGCTGCAAGGGAAGGCAGAAGCCCGGGCATTGCCTGGTGATGCTGACTGTCTATTAGCAGCTGAAAATAAATGCAAAGTACCTCACAGCACAAATAACTCTCTTCTTCCCCTTTTTATTGTGCTGACTCTCACAGAGGTATGAGAAATATTTTTTTCCAAGTGAGTGCAGAATAATATGCTTGGAGAGATTCAGTTTATTGTTACAGTACTGCGTGAAGCACTTAATGAAACGCCTGCAGGTTCATAATGGAAGCCTACTTTGGAGCTGTTCTGCATAGTCAATCATCAGTGAACTTGATTGCTCGTTCAACCTGAACGAATTCCTCAGCCCATAATGGCAATTTCCACACTGTCCTGCTGGGCAGCGGGGTCTCTACATCCCTTTAATATCCTGACATTTGCCTTTTATTGCTTTTGAAATGAAAGTGAACAGCTGCAGCAGGTTCCAGTGGAAGAGGTCCTGGAGGATGCTGGATGTTAAAGGGATGTCTGAGGAAACAGGAGCTTTTATTGAGCTTGCTGCAGATTTCTGTGCCAGGCAGCTGTGTTAAAAACGTTAAATGCAGCTGAGGCAGCACTTAGACACCTCCTCCTTCACCTGAAAGGGAGGAAAAGTGGTTAGAGTAGGAGCCCGTCACATGGGGTACCATGGGTTGTTCTCTCCCCTGCTCTCAAGGCACGGTATGAACAAGGTCATGTTGCTTGTTGCATTGGAGGGCTGCTCAGAGTTGAGGTCGCTGCAGTCCTTCCACAGAGCAGCCCGCAGTTTCCCAGGTCTGCAGGTAATGTGGAGCACAGCTGTGCACGGATGAAAGCAGAGACCTGGTTTTGCAACTGCCATTGTGTAACAGAACCATGGGGAACAGTGTCTTTTACTCTGCTGGTTCGGAGCGCTTTTCACTTTGGTTTATTTACCTTTGCCTTTAATTTTCTTGGTGTCTCTCTCCCCTTTTCCTGGGTATAACGTTTTCACACGCAGATGTCTCCTCGCTCTGCCCGGCGGCGTTGGTCCATACAAGCAATTAACGACTTCCCGGTACTGTGCGCTGTGCTGATACTGTCCTTGATACAACCCTGTCTTCTGCCCAAGGGCCCAAGAATAAAATGCCACCTGCCTGCCTTTGAGTAACCTGCACAGAGGTGGGGGACCCGCGCTCCACACAGGGCCTAGGGCTTCAGGAGCACTAAGTGCGTGTGTAAGTGGGCAGGAGCAGACACGATCTCAAAGGGTACAAACGCTGCCTTATATATGACATGCCTGTGTCACCTGGCCTTGCAGTCAGGAAAGGATGCCAAGGGGAATTTGAAGTTTAAGAAAGGATCAACCTCTCAGAAGCGTGCGCTAAGAAGAGCGTGCCGCAGAGAAGTTGAGTGATGATTATTATGCGTCATCAGGTAACTGATGAGGCTGACATGAGAACACCTCATCTCTGCAAAAGACAAAACCCTTCTGGAGAGGGAGGAGTTCTGGAAAATAATATTAAAGAGCAGCAAGCTGCTGGCATGGCATTGCTTAAGAGCTGTGGAAGAAGCAAACCGGTTGAGCTGCTGATAATGATCTGTCATCCCATTAAAACGAGCGTGTGTGTTGCACCAGAAATGCCTTATTTCCTGGAGCAGTAAGTAGGATTTCTCCTCGATTCATGGTCTTCTCCAGCGCTTAGAATTGCACCGCTCTGCATTCAGTCGAGGCGCAACACTGGCTGGTGCTCCCTCCTGCTGGCACCTGCCCTTCCAAGACTGTTTTGACAAGTCATTTTGCTTTAGTGCACTTGTCTTTAAGGCTTGAAGACATCATTCATGTGAGCGTCTTGATAATATCAGTGTTGCTCAAGCTGCAATGTGGATTTGGGCAATTACTGTTTCATCAGTCCTCTGCCAAGCACAGGCGAAGCCTAGAAGACTCCAATTTAAAGATGATTTCTTTAGGTCTGCGTGAACAACTGTTTTTCACAGCTGTTTGCCTTCATGCTATCTCTTCAAGACAGCAGGGGATAAAATGGAATCCCGTAACACCTAATTTAACTTGGTATAATAGGTCGAGCCTTCCTAATTACAACAACACTGAGTCTATACTGTCAAATAATAGGTGAGAGAAACCAGAAGAAATTTACTTGACTCGGAGGCTTTTTGTGAAGAGCTAACGAAATGTGAGTGGTGGAGGCAAGAAATGAGGCTCTTCATTGGAGCAGGAATTGACTAAAGGAGAGAAAACCAGGCAAGAGCTTGCCAGAGTTTGGTGCAATAAATCGTGGTCCACCCAGGACCTCAGTTGAATTTGCTTTCCACTGGCTTGGAAGGAAGAGCAAGTGCTGATGTGATGAAGTTAACTTTTTGTGCAACATGCTTATTTTTAGGGTATGTGGGATAGTTCAAGCCTGGGCATACTGATTGCATTAGTGGATAACTGCTGGAAAAGCCTCATCACGCTCTCCTGAGTGGGCAGCGGTGCCCAAGATGAAGATACTTGGAAGAAAAAGAAACACTTCTGCTGGGGGACGTTGATTTTTGGCCTCTCTGGTGCTGCAGGAGATGCTGTGAGCCATCAGTGTGGATTCTTTGGAATTCCAGGATTGGTGGATTGTGGATTCTTGGAAGTCCAGGCAGTGCTGCATGACCTGCACCAGGATTTAATCTGCAGGCACTTGTTCAGAGTAAAGGAACCTACAGGGGAGCAGCAATTTTAAAACTTAATTTAAAAAATAAGTTCTTAGAAGCAGCTTGAACCTGGCTTTGAACTTGTTTAACTCTTTATTTTGTAAATACCTTAATGCAGCTTAATCTCTGGTGTTGAGCCTCTTCTCTTTCGTCCACAGCCTTTCCCTTTGCCCTGCTAACACACCAGCTTACCCTACAAACTGAGGTTTTGCATACGCTGATGTGAACCAGGCACTCTGCATTTCACAAAGTCAACTTCCAGCGCTGCCTGCCTCAGCAGGACCCGCAGGCACACACACCCCACAGCCCAGCATCCTTTCCAAGTGGGCATGCAGCACTTTGTACCTACTTCTGCTGAGTATGCAGTGATGGTGGTTGCTACGAAGCAGTTGGTGGCTTATTCTTGGGCTGTCTGTTTCTACATGTAACCCATTTACTGCCATCGTTATCACCTCAGACTGCAGCAAATTACAGCCTTGGGTATGGTAGTGCAGTGCAGGCTGGCTTTTTTAGTCATCGTTCAGTGCTGTTCCCCGCTGTCACCTCCAACCCCTTGATTGTCGTAAATGCTCTGGTTTCTTTCCTTCTGGTGCTCCGAGGAGCTGATGAGCCTTAATTTGCTATTGCCACAGCTATTTTCTTTCTTTTCTTCCTTTCCTTAAGCTCTCAGGAGCAGGTGGGTAGATGCAGTTCACCCTGGCCCGGACTCTAGGTTGCAGATAGGAGTGCTGGGGCAGTGCAGAAGGCCTGTGTCTTTGCCCTTAGTGTTAGTTTGGTGTGTGCATGCTGACTTGCTTTTGCTCCAACCGTTGTGTTCCCTGCTCCCCTCTGTCACCTGTGCTCTAGCCCCTGGGAAGAGACGTGTCTCCTGTCCCCCCCGCTGCCTGTGAGCCTTGCCTAACACCACAGTGGAAGATTCTCACTGGAGCAGGCTTGGAATAGAAGGAAGAGAGGAACCTTGTGGTGGACCTTGGCCAGCCAGACCTGAGCTAGAGCTCTCCTTGCCTTTGAGCCTCTTGCTGCAGAGGCCTACCCGAATTTTGAAAAAGCATGACACGTAGAACTGAGGCTGCACCTTTAATTTTATGATTTTCTTTTATCACAGTTCAAAGGGCAGGAAGCAGTGGTGCTGGCAGGGCGTGTGGTCATAGGCCAACCTGCTGCTGGAGCTGCACCAGTAGAGGATTAGGTCTTCCCTGTTGGCCAGTAACCAGGCAGAGCTAGGAGGAAAAAAAGCAGGAGGACTTTGTGAGTTCAGGCTTTCACGGGGCTCTGATGCATTTAGTGTCTTCATTTGTCTGGTGGTATGCTAACAGCAAGCAGGAAGCCATTCATGGGCTCTCTTTTCCATGCTCATCCTCATTTGTTGTCATTCTCAAAAAAAAAAAAAAAAAAAAAAAAAAGTGACTAAATTGCCTGTGCAAAGTGGTGTGTGTTGTCCGTGTTCCTGCTCTTTGCAATACCTGCTGGGAGGCTTCTTCAGCTGGCTCGTGCAGGGGGCAGGAGCAGGTTGAGCTGTTCTCAGTGACAGCGCCGGGTAACGCTCCATCAGCTGCGACTTGCAGATGCTCAGGAGGTAGCAAGCTGCTCCCCAAATTTCCTGCCGAGCGGCTCTGTGCCTGCAAGCCTGCATTCAGAGGCGGCACAGGGGGCTGCTTTTGGTGAATACTGCCTGCACTCCTGCCCTGGTGGCACGTCCTCGTTCTGGGGCTCCCAAGCTTTGCTCCAGTGTTGGTTTTGGCAGCATCAGCAACTCCTTGCTGCACCTCATCCTGCAGATGAGGAAGCAGGGACAAGCACCACAGTGGTTTGAGAATCTTGTCATCATACAGTCCACGTCTTTCAGCACAGAAAGGGTAGCGATGCTTTTAGGTGTTATCAGAAGGTTTTGTGCCCAAGGGTGAGAGCCAGAGCTGGTCCAGGCAGGGCCTTGGCTGGAAGCTGATGGATTGAGGAGTGGTTGATCTCCCATCCTGTAGTCACCTTCCACTGCATGGGCCTCAGTTTGAGCAGTAGATGAGATAAAAACTGAAAGCAAATTGTTTGGATGGATCAGAGTTTGAAGGGCTGTAGCTGAGAACAAAATTAGGCCCTGGCTGTCCAGTTCCCAAAGCGCTGAGCGCTGAGTTTCCATCTGGTACCTCTGGCTGGGCAGTGTGTGTGCTCCTCTTTACTCTGGGGAGCAGTGGAAGACCAGGCGAGCAGGTGAGGATCTGTCACGAAGGCAGAAAGGTCCACCTTCACTTCCTTCAAGACTGAATTGCCTCCTTCACTCACTGCCAAACCTGTGCTCGAGCCTTTGGGCCTCAGCCACTCGTTGTGTGGGAACACAAGCAGTGAAGAAGGCCCTGGTGCTGTGCTTCCCCCAGCTCAGTCTGCTCTTTGGGAGCACTGATGTGCCTGGGTGAGCTCTGCCTGCCTTGCAGAGCCAGCGGTGCAGCAGGACAGAGGGACTGTGAGCTCTGGCTGTGCTCAGCAGAGCCTCTGCAGCTCAGTGGGACATGGGAACGCTTCTGGATAGGAGCATGTCAGTGAGGGAGCTCACAGCACTGCAAAGCACCACCGCTGCTCGTAGCAGCCAGCGCTTCCTCCTAGAGATCCTCTGTAGCCTTTGCTTGCCTGTGCTGCACGTCCTCAGCCCTCGTCACTGCCCTCCTGCAGCAAGGAGCTGCCCGATACTCCACAGGCTGTCTGTGGCCGAGGCAGCGTTACGCAGCGTGGCACGAAGATGGCCTCTGTGTCTGTTGCGGGGAGTATTTGGGATCCTGGCTCCCTGTTTTTTTCCTTCGTGCCGATTCCTCTCCTTCCTTTTTCCCCCCAGCTGTGTGCCCTGAGCCAGCTGTGAGCATGGTAGCTGAGGGTCCTTGCTAGGAAAACGTGGGCCCTGCTTTATCATCTGCCATTTGTTTGAAGCTCTTGATAAAGCAGGAGAGGTGATCTCAGACCAAAGGAGAGTCTGGAGCTGTCGGCCCTGCCTGAAGCCGAGGGCAAACAGAAGCTGGCTCCTGCTCGTCTCTGTGCTGAGCGTTGGCCGAAGCCAGCGGTGGTCTGTGTGCAAGGCTTCCCAGACCAGACCTCTAACGAGTGCTAATTGAACCATATCCTGCCAAACCTCCCCGGGTCTGATTGGCAGCCCGATGCCGATTTGTTTCTTATTGGCTTTCACTGGAGAACTCACTGAATACTTTTTGAGTGAGTTTGACCTTGAGCTCGTTGCCTTGACCTGCTTTTCACTTCCTACAGATGGAGATGCTTGTTCTCCTGGGCATGTCATGGATGTTTTCCAGGGTGACACAGAGCCTTCTGAAAGGCGGGTTTGGGTGCTGCTTGCATTATTCCTGACCCTAGTGCTTTGTTCCCTGGCCCACGAGGGCTGCTGTCCTGCTCCCCAGTAACACGCTGCCATTTGTTCTGCAGAAGTCGAGGAGGTGGAAAAGCAAACGGGAGGGGACAGATGCCAACAACCGACCCATCAAAGCTGCCGGGAAAGTTATTATACAAGATATTTCCTGCTTGCTGCCTGTGCACAAGCTGCTGGGAGAGCTCTACATGTGAGTACGGGCTGGCACCCTTTCTTAGAGGAAAGCAGTTGTCTTTGGTACTGCCGTGCTTTTGTCCTTCAAACATTTCTTCCTGCTTTCTTGCCTTTCTGCTTTTTTTATAGTGTTGCTCTGCCTGTGAGAAGAGTCTTGTCTTTCTTCCATCTGAAAAGCAATGGAAGAAATACGTGATGGTGTAATTGTATACAGAGTGAACTGGTGCTCCAGCATCATCACTACAACTCTTTCAGGCTCAGGCTTTTGTCAGCTGGAGAGAGAAGTTAGTGGTACAAATTCAGGGAAGGAGCAGGCTGCCCTTCTTAAGGGATAGTGGGGAGGAGAAAGCCTTCCTTCTCTCTTCTCTGTGTTATGAAAGAGAATGTTCTTTAAAGAGACCCGATGGATCTTTCTTATCTGCTTACCTCACTTTTGTAAAAAATGTCAAGTGTCTGAAGAACCTTTCTGACGATGAGTGGAAAGGCTCACTTGGTTTCTTCAGGCTCCCCCTGCCCCTTGTCAGGCACCCAGAGACTCTGCAAGGGGTGTGTTATCCAGCTCAGAAACGTGCTTGTCTGCGGGTAAGGCTGATTTCTTCCAGTCAACTAGAACGGATCAACAGGCTGGATGGAGACAGAGCCGCATCACTGATGGATCCTAAGGACAGGAACGATCCTTGGCTTGGTGCTGTTCTGGCACAAGTTGGATCCAGCATCCCCATGGAAGTGGTGCATCTTAGGACCAAGCCAGCTTGCAGCTGGACTTGATGCAATAAGCAGTGTGTTAGGGAAGATGAATAGTGGGAGCTGCCAGAAGGATGGCAGTGATCCCTGAGTAACACAGGGGGGCCAGATGAGATCCTGGTCGTGCTTGTAGGCTCACAGTGATCAGCAAGTTCTGGGCTACTTACTATTACCAGTACCACATCCTCCCCATTCCTCCCTGCCTTCTCAGGTAGCATGCCAGCCAAAAAGCTGATCTGTCTTTCTTCTTTTCAGATTGAACGTAAATAATATCCAGGAGACTTGCCAGAAGAATGCTGCCTCAGCCATGGCTGTTGGACGGAGGGATCTTGTACAGGTATTACACTGAATCAGACTTCTTTCTCACTACCCTTAAATGCCTTGTGCTATTGCCTTCGTACCTGGACAGTCAGCTGACCTCAGCAGTTGTTCCAGTGTGTGTGAAAAGGCTGATGAACCGAGGGGTGTGAGACAGCTCCAGAGGTGCTCTGTAGCTCCTTGGTTTGAGCAGTTAGAGGTCCCCTTGCTGGGCTGCAGGCAGGATGTTGTATGTCTGTTGCCAAACAGAGTGAAGCACATTTTTCGGGCAATTCCTGCAGGCAGAGCTAGGGATGCAGTCTGCGTTCGAGTCTGCAGGGGAAGTAACTGTGCACAGAGTTGCCAAGCTGCTGTGAGGATTTGATCGATGGTTTTGTCTTGTGTAATACTTCCTGTTGTAATTAGCTCAGCGTTAATCTGCACCGCTGCTGTGTGCTAACTGCAGCCAGCTCTCACAAAGAAATTCTGCATCCAGAGCCCCAGCCCTAGAATGGGGCTATCCACTTGCATTCAGCTAGTAGCAGGGGAAGGATGACTGCTTTGGCTTGTGCCTTGCCCTGTGGTTAGTCCATAGCAACAGGCAAAACATTTGCCAGGACTGGGGAGCAGGCTGGCACTGCCAGAGGAGCCTGTGCCCCTGTGCTGAGCATTTGGCTCCCCCTAGCACTGTGCAGGGAGCAGCCATGGGCTCGCTGAATGGCAGGAGCCACCTCAAGCTGTTGTCTAAGATTGTTAGCTTGTGGTTCTGCCACACCCCCAGGAAGAAGGTAGGTCTCGTTTCCCTCTGTGCCTCATTCAGCAGACTGGTTTACCTGGAGTACAGGAGCTTGGGTAGGACAGCTTCAGCAGGATCCTTCTGATATCTCTGTTTCTTGCTCGTTGTTCCCTGCCTGTGTAACTCCAGCCTGTATTGTAGCTTGCCTTGCTCCTTAAAGATGTGGAGGTTTGAGTGATGGAGTCACATGCTAGACATGCTCTGCAGCAGTATAGGAAGTGACATTTTTCCAGGTTCCTTTCTGTAGTTTTTCACACTCAGGCCTGTCCTTGTTTCGGTCTCTTTACTGTCTCTTTCTGTCCCATTTATGGGGTTGTGAATCCTGGCTGTTCCTCTGGGTACTTGAAGCACTTGCGTTTTCTCCCCAGCTTTTCTGTGTTTGCAGGTACAGCTGTCCCCTCTCTGACTCCTGCTCTTTCCTGCTCTTTCCAGCATGGTGCTCACTTTCCTTTTCTGCTCTCTTTTATTATTTTTTTTGCACCAAACTCAGAACTTTGTTTTCCCCTGGAATATTGTGTTCTAATTGCTCCATTTTAAAAAGGTGCAGCCGGAAAAAAAACAGTCCTAGGTTTGATTCAGTTGTGCACACTCAGTGGGATGCAGACCGAAAAGATGGAGCCATTTTCAGAGAAAAGGGAGATAAGAGAAAGGTGGCGTGTGAAAGAGGGAGGCAACCTGTGGGGCAGGAGTGGCAAACTGCCCATCTGCCTGTGCTCAGCTGTGTGTGCAGTAATGCAGCTCAGCAGAGGGTTCGTGCCAAGCAAATAAAGTTGCACTGGCAATCTTTCTGTCACCAGATGTTTCTGAACCCAGGAACTGCATCGAATTGAAACCCGTCTGAGGTTTGTGAATGTAAGTGAGCTAATAGGTCTGCTTAAATTCTCCTGTTGAACTTTGAAGAAGAATAAGCTATGGCTTAACCCAACCCCGAAGCAAAAGCATCCGTTTTTTTTGCTCTACATACTCCTTGTCACACTGAGGCTGGAACTGCTCCCTCTTGGTAGTTGTGTTTTGTTTTGTTTCATTGAAATCCATTATTATTTATCTGCGAGTGAATCTGTGCACACCTATCCCCCAGGAATCTGCCTGTTTCTAATTGTAACTTTGCTGCTTTTCCTTCCTGTCTGCCAGGTTTGGTCACTGGCTATGGTAGCCACTGATCTTTGTCTTGGACCGAAGTCTGACCCAGATCTGGAGATACCTTGGGCACAGCATCCATTTGGACGTCAATTACTGGAGTCCTTGTAGGTCTCTGAATGCTAGGGAGGGATGGGAGTGGCTGCTGAAGCAGGGGGAGCCTTTCATCAGTGTGTATATTGTATGGCAGCTTTATGCAAGTGCGTTGGTGACGTGCAGGGGGCAGCATTTGGCCTCCATCAGGCACCCGGGAGTCCCTGGGCTGACAGAGCGACAGCTCAGGTGCAGTTGGAGCTCTGTTCTCCCGTGTGCCCACAACGCCTGACTTACAAATAAAGATGCAGGTTTTCTGCTCCCCGCCTCCTAAATGGTTGTGTGGGTGCAGCTGCTTGATTCGCTTTCACATTCACTGTTGCCACGTAGCATTAGTGGGAATTAATTTACTGCTCTCAGAGCCAAGTATGAGCCGCACAAGTCTTCCTGCCAGTGAATCTGTTCAGGAGGGAGAACGATTAGTAATTAACATTATCTGTTGATCTATGCCATTTGAAGACACAGTTTGTGTGTTGTACTTGCTGTGCGATTGCTTGACCTCGCTCTTTCCTGCTGTGCAGCAGCTGTGGGAGGGGAGCACGGGTAGTTGTTTGTTGCTCTCAGTCTTCAGGGACTTCATAGCAATCCAGGAGACGTGCGGCGGAGATTTGCCTTGTGATCTGGGTGCAGGATGGTTGCATGCAGAGGGTCTCAGAACAAAAAAAAAGCAGTGCGAGCGGGGGATGAGTTTAGTGGCCCCAGCTTTAAATCCACGAGCTGTGTGGGCCTTGTTCCTGAAGCTGCACAGAGCTGGGATAGTGGGGCTACGAGCACTGCTGGATTCCCAGAGTTCCTCCCCGCCTTTCTCCCACCTGTTAGGCCAAGAGTGTTTGCAGGGGGAGGGCTTGGTTCCTGAAAGGCGTGATAGAAAAGACAGCAGAATGCACATGCCTCCCGTGGGCAGTAATGTGCCCTGAATGGATTTATGCAGCAGGCTTGAAATTACTTGCCTTGGAGTCTCAGTGCTTTTTCCACTGAACTCTGCCAATCTCAGACTTGGTGTTTTTCATTTCCTAGGCTGGCTCACTACTCGCAGCTCCACGATGTGCAGACCCTGGCCATGCTGTGCAGTGTGTTTGAAGCCCAGTCCAGGTTACAGGGGTGCCCAAACTCCTATGGCCCCTTTCCTCAGCGTGCCTCCAACCTGGCCTCCCACAGCCGATACGTATGACAGCCATTTCTTTCCTGCTTGCCTCAGAAGCCTTTGAACATCTCTTGTGTAGATGACACGATTTCTTTTTTTTCCCTTGACAGCCCAGCTTCACTTCCTCTGGTTCCTGTTCCAGCATGTCGGATCCTGGACTTGGCACTGGGGGCTGGAGCATAGGTACTGAGACCTGGGGAGCAGGTAGAGAAATCTGCCTCCCTTCTGGCTTAGGTCTTAGATAGCTCATGTGTTGGGGAGGGCAGGGAGCTAGCGTTGGCTGACTGCAGATCTACTCGGCCAGAGAAGCTTTCTGTACCTTGGCCCACAGGGTATTCTTTGGCTGGAAGTTAGCATGGTTTACAGTAACCATGCTGGTGGTCCCACAGTCCTGCTCCTTCTGTGTCTCCTGAGCTTTGCAGGAAATGCTACAAACCCTCTAGACATGCCAAGTTAGACTCCCTGATCACAGGTTAACCCATGGCCAAGAGCTTCCACTGCTGCAGCAAGTGAAGAGAGACCAGGTTGTGTTGTTTTGCTTCCAGACTGGCTGTCGTTGCTCGTGCTGACTGCCTCACTGCTGATCGGTGATGTAAGCATTCTGTAGCCCTGGTACTTTGTACTGTTTGAGGCTGTTATCTCCGTGCAGTGAGGCTGC